AATATATTTTAAAATATTATTTTACTATTTTCAACAATAAATCTAAATATATTATTAATCTAATAAATATATAAATCCTTTTAAAATTATAATTGAAAACTTTTAATTTTAAATAAAACAGTATAATATTATATATATATATATATATATATATATTTTTTTTTTTGTATTTGAAAAATTAATTGATTATTTTAAAAATTAATCCATTAATTGTTTAATTTTTCGATGAGAACCGGTTACTTTTATAAATAATTGATTATAATTAATTAGTTTTTAAATAATCAATTACTTTTTCAAATATATATTAATTAATTATAAATAAAAATAAATATCAAATTAAAATTAAAAAAATTATTATTTATAAATTATATATATTATATAAATTATAAATATAAAATTAAAAATAAATAAATAAATTTAAAATTATAACCTTAAAAAAATATATAATTATAAAATTAATAAAAAATATAACTATTTTTAATATTAAATAAATTATATATCTTATATATATATATATATATATATATATATATATATATATATTACATAAATTAAAATTGCATATATGAACTTCAAATTTATTTTATATATATATTTTACATAAATTAAAATAATAATTATCAACTTAAAAATAAATTATATGTTAATAAATAAATAAATAAATATATATATATATATATATATTTTTTCAAAGTATAACTTATTTTTATTTCTATAATATAAAAGAAAAAAAAAATATATATATATATATATATATATATATATTCCAAAATATTATAAAACACACAAAAAAAATACATTTCAAAAATATAATTTTACATCAAAATATTATCTCATCTTATATGCATGTAATTTTTAAGATTTTTATTATCCTTCTAATTTATTATTCATTTCTTAAAAAATACTACAATATCAAATAAATTAAAGAATTAAAAAAAATTAACCATAAAAATAAAATATAAATATAATATTTAATAATATATTTTAAAAGTATTATTTTACTACTTTCAATAATAAATCTAAATATATTTAAAATTTTAGAAATATATAAATCTTTTTAAAATTATAATTTAAAACTATAAACTTTAAATAAAACATTATAATATTTTATATATATATATATATATATATATATATATAAAGTTAGTTAGTTTTTCTTTTTTTGAATAAAATAAACAAAAATTAGAAGAAAAAAATAATAATTTAGAATTCGGTTGCTAGACAATCGAATTTTAATTTATTTAAACAAAAATAAAATATACAGCCACGTTAAGGTTATGTATACCAAAAAAACAAATTCTCAACTTAAAAAATGTGTAAGTAAATAAAACCACATTATACTATAAAATTTCGTATAGAAGAGAATCTAAATATATTCTTAATTTAAAAAATATATAAATTTTTTAAAATTATAATTTAAAACTATAAATTTTAAATAAACATTATAATTATATATATATATATATATATTTTTTTACTTAATATATATTTGAAAAACTAATTGATTATTTCAAAAACTAATTATAATCTGATTAGTTTTTCAAATAATCTATTATAATCGATTAGTTTTAAAATATACATTAAATAATTATAAATAAAATATATATCAAATTAAAATTAAAAATTAATTATTTATAAATTATATATATTATATAAATTATAATTATAAATTTTAACAAAATTATATTTAGAATTATAATCCTAAAAAATTTATATTTATAAAATTAATAAAAATATAACTATTTAAATTATACTATAAATTTTAAATAAAACATTATAATATTATATATATATATATATATATATATATATATATATATAGTTAGTTTTTCCTTTTTTTAACAAAATAAACAAAAATTAGAAGTAAGAAAAAAAACAATTTAGAATTCGGTTGCCAAAAAACCCAGATTTAACTGATTTAAAGAAAAATAAAATATGCACTCACGTTAAGATTTCGTGTACCAAAAAATCAAATTATTAACTTAAAAAAATAGTGCTACATAGGTAAATAAAACCACAATATATTATAAATTTCGTATACCAGAGAATCTAAATATATTCTTATTTTAAAAAATATATAAATTATTTTAAATTATAATTTAAAACTATACCTTTTAAATAAAACATTATAATATTATATATATTTATTTATTTATATTTATTTTACTTAATGTATATTTAAAAAACTAATCGATTATTTCAAATGTATATTTGAAAAACTAATCGATTATTTAAAAAATAAATCGATTAGTTTTTCAAATAATCTATTATAATCGATTAGTTTTAAAATATACATTAAATCATTATAAATTAAAAAAAAATATTTAGAATTATAATCTTAAAACATTTATATTTATAAAATTAATAAAAATATAATTATTTAAATTATACTATAAATTTTAAATAAAACATTATAATATTATAATATATATATATATATATATATATTATAGTTAGTTTTTTTTTTAACAAAATAAACAAAAATTAGAAAAAAAATACAATTTAGAATTTAGTTTACCAAAAAACCAAATTTTAACTGATTTAAAGAAAAAAAAAATATGCACCCACGTTAAGGTTTCATATACCAGAGAATCAAATTCTAAACATAATCAAAATAAAACCTACATGCTATAAATTTCGTATACTAAAGAATCTAAATATATTCTTAATTTAAAAAATATATAAATTTTTTAAAATTATAATTTAAAACTATAAATTTTAAATAAAACATTATAATTATATATATATATATATATATATATATATAAAATGTATATTTGAAAAACTAATCGATTATTTTAAAAATATTTTTTGAAATAATCGATTATTTTTTCAATTACTCAATTATAGTCGATTAGTTTTTCAAATAATTAATTAATTGTAAAATATACATTAAATAATTACAAATAAAATATATATCAAATTAAAATTTAAAAATAATTATTTATAAATTATATATATTATATAAATTATAATTATAAAATTAAAAAATTTATATTTAGAATTATAATCTTAAAAAATTTATATTTATAAAATTAATACAAATATAACTATTTCTAATTTTAAATCAATTATATATTATATAAATTATATATATATATATATATTCTAAAATATTACAAAACATAAAAAAAAATACATTTCAAAAATATAATTTTATATCAAAATATTATTTTTTCTTTTATATATATATATATATATATATATATTAAGATTTTTATTATCCTCCTAATTTATTATTAATTTCTAAAAAAATATTACAATATCAAATAAATCAAAAATTTTAAAAAAATTAATCATATAAATAAAATATTTATTAATATATTTTAAAATATTATTTTACTATTTTTAACAATAAATCTAAATATATTATTAATCTAATAAATATATAAATTCTTTTATAATTATAATTTAAAACTTTAAATTTTAAATAAAACAGTATAATATTATATATATATATATATAGATATTTTATTATTATTTAAAAAACTAATGAATTAGTTTTTTAATTATTTGATGAGAACCGGTTACTTTTTAAAATAATTGATTATAATTGATTAATTTTTAAATAATCAATTACTTTTTCAAATATACATTAATTAATTATAGATAAAAATATATATCAAATTAAAATTAAAAAAATCATTATTTATAAATTATATATATATATATATATAAATTATAAATATAAAATTAAAAACAAATAAATTTAAAATTATAACCTTAAAAAAATTATAATTATAAAATTAATAAAAATTTAACTATTTTAATATTAAATAAATTATATATCTTATATAAATTATATATATATATATATATATATATATATTATATAAATTAAAATTACATGAACTTCAAATTTATTTTATATATATATATTTTACATAAATTAAAATAATAATTATCAACTTAAAAATAAATTATATTTTAATATATATATATATATATATTATATATTCCAAAGTATAACTTATTTTTATTTGTGTAATATATATATATATATATATTTCAAAATATTAATAAAAAAATATATTTTAAAAATATAATTTTACATCAAAATTTTAATTCATCTTTTTATTATCCTTCTAATTTATTATTCATTTTAAAAAATATATTACAATATCAAATAAATCAAAGAATTAAAAAAATTAACCATAAAAATAAAATAAAAATATAATATTTAATAATATATTTAAAAAAATATTATTTTACTGTTTTTAACAATAAATCTAAATATATTATTAATTTAAAAAATATATAAATTTTTTAAATTTATAATTTAAAATATAAATTTTAAATAAAATATTATAATATTATATATATTAGTTAGTTTTTCTTTTTGTTTAACAAAATAAACAAAAATAAAAAAAAAACAATTTTAAATTTAATTTCTAGAAAACTGAATTTTAACTGATTTAAAAAAAAAAAATACCCACATTCAGGTTTCATATTAATCGAATTCTCAACTAAAAAAAGTGTTGCGTAAATTGTGCAGGTAAAACCTATAATATGTTATTTAAGTAATTAAAAAATAATACGTGTAACTGAGAAACTAACCAATGATGATTACTGCAAAAATGATATAAGCAATTCATTCAACTTATTTTTAATATAAGATTTATTATATCAAATTACATTTAATTCATTTTTTTTTTAGAAAATGTTTAAATAATTTTGAAATAAATTCATTGAAGTCTCGTTGTTATGATTTATCTAGCACATTTCTTAACCAACTGGCAATTGAGAGGACCAAACGGTACTTGTGGGGGAAGAAAAGGTCAGTTTCGTAATTAGGTCAGACGAGGGTTTATGAAGGGCTTTAACAAATCTGGATGTAAGAACACAACTCAGCCCTCTTCGTTCTGAGCATCATCAATGGCGGTTTTGTCCTGGGCTGTGTAAAACCCTTGTCAACTAAATCTTTTCCAACTTTTCTAGGGCATGAACCGACCTTCAATTTTCAAAGCCCCATTCTTTCAATCATCCCATTGCCCAACCCAATGTTGAAGCTCATTTCATCATCGCGCATCCATCGGCTGCACCCCACGGTGATCCGTCCCGCACTCGATTCCACCTCGCCGTTGCTCAGAGTGTTCAGTCATCTTGGTGGGTTAAGCCGGAGGAACACTGATGTCGGAGGCAGGTATTTTTTCTGTTCCGATTCCGGCGACGGCTCCGATCAAGTTGTTGACGCCGGAGTCAAGGCGGCCGATGAGTCTCAGTCCAAGGCCTCCGCTATTGTCCCCACATATCCCAGACCCGAAGATTATCTCACCGTTAGTTTCTGATTGTTGTTACTGCTGTTATTAGTTGCTCAATTGTTTCAATTTCTCCTAACATCTGTGGCAAAATTTAACAATTCTGATGCAACTAAAATGTGATGTTAGGGATATATATCTTGATTCAGGTTCAATAGCGAAGGCTAGTCAAAGTTAACTTATGCAAATTTAATAATTCTGTTGCAAGTGAAAAGTTAACAGGCTTGTCTCGTGAGCTAAAATAAAACCATTTAGCTTCTCTAAAAGCGGAATTTACCATTTGCACTAGCTACTTTTAGCTAATGGCTGTTCTTAACTCATGAAAAAAGCGTATTCTACATTTTTTTAGCTAAGTACGGCCATAATCTACTCTTCGTATTTTTGGACAAACTTTTTATAAGTACTTTAGGATAAGAAAAATAAAATAAAATGAAATAAATAAACTTCTCGATAAGTTAGTTTATGCAAATATTAGCTTCTTCAAATTATATTTTATTTATGTATAAACTAGTTTTAGCTTATAGAGAAAGTTATTTCTTTTTTCTTTCTTATTTTCAACTTCCACAAGTGCTTATAGATTATTATTTTTTTTTTCCTAAATAGGCCTTTAGCATGTGTTGTAATCTGTGAAATGTAGCAAAACCTGCTAGTTAATCGTTGGAGGATGATATTTTTGTTAATCTTTGGGGAGGTTTGAGGAGGATTTAAATTCAATGTTTGTGTGTTGACTGCTTGAAAGTTTTACTGTTCATGTTATGCTACTTCATGTCTAGGCTATTCCAGTCGTGTTTGAGGGCACTACACTATTGCCACACCCTATCCTGGAAATAAAACTAGGACTGTATCGCACATTTTTTCTGTGTTTATTTATTTTTTAGATGTTTGGTAAAACAAAACATTGGGAGCTTGCGAATGAAGTCTCTGTCAGTTTTCTTGATAACTCATAAGATTCTGGATGTTCATTTTTCCTCTTTATCTTTGGAACAGGTTTTGGCATTACCACTGATCCACAGGCCTCTTTTCCCAGGATTTTACATGCCAATCTTTGTTAAGGTATGGTGAGTTGTCAGGAATGATGAGTAAAATATGTTTCTTTTCTCATTAAATGCTTATGGCTGAATCATAAGCAAATTTTAATCAATGATTAGTGCTTGTACGGAAAATACTTGATTGAATGTAACTTGAAAATTTAAAGTGTGGTTATCCAGTTTGTAATGGGTATTTTACTATGCTTCTAGGATCCCAAATTATTGGCAGCTTTACAAGAAAGTAGAGAACGACAGGCCCCTTATGCTGGTGCTTTCCTCCTTAAGGACGAGCCAGAGGCTGATCCTAGTGTAGTATCTAGCTCTGACACGGATAAAAATGTATATGATTTAAAAGGAAAGGAGTTATTTAACCGTCTTCATGAAGTTGGGACTCTTGCTCAGGTACATGATTTAGTAGGTAGCTAGCTTATTTAGTTATTTTATTCCTTCAGTGGATTGCCTGCATAACTTTAATTAGAACCTCAAATTTTTTTTACTGTTCCCCTTTTCAGATTTCAAGTATACATGGGGATCAAGTGATCCTGATTGGTCACCGGCGTCTACGGATAACAGAGATGGTCAGTTGAACATGTTAAAATCAATAAAGATTGGTGCTTAATTTTTTTGTTGTGCCAGACTCACATTTGTTTTCTTAAGTTTTATTATTCACCTTCTGATTTCTGATAATCATTTTTGTGTATGTAATATGTAGCTAAAGTATTTGATGTTTATTTAGAGCTGAAAGCTTGCTTGTCCGTTCTGCAGGTTAGTGAAGATCCACTAACTGTTAAAGTTGATCATCTGAAGGCATGTCTTAATCTACTGTTTTCCTCCTTTTGTTTTCTGTTAAACTGAAAATTTCTATCAAATTATCTATTCGCTTATCAGGTTTTACCTGGTGCTGCAGGATAAAACTTATAACAAAGATGATGATATTATTAAGGCCACATCTTTCGAGGTTATATCAACCCTAAGAGATGTTCTTAAAACAAGTTCCCTTTGGAGAGATCATGTTCAGACTTATACGAAGGTTTGGACCCTTCTCTTTATGTGTTTATTGGAACATGGAATTGGAGGACAGGATTAGAGTTGTGCTTTGTTACATGCCAAGGTGGCTAAGTTTGTTTGCTATAGTTTTCTAGAAGTTTTGGAAGTTGACACACACACCGTGTTTGTGTGGAAACTCTCAAATTGATTGGCTGTATATTGCTTGCAAACAACCCTAATATTCTAAGTTAGGTTAAGTTGCTTCATTCTTCCATTGTCCAAAAGCCTGATCAAATATAAAAAATAGTTATTTTTAATCTTTGTGATAATCTTATCACCCATGAAATGGCAGAGTGAGAAAGAAGAAATATAAAAGGATTATCAAGAACAAAAAATATTAGGTAAAGAGTGGGTAGCTGAATATTATTTTAACTTCTAACGGTCTTGCTTTAGATATCTTGATGATGAACCTTTAGATATCTTGATAAGTCATAACAATGAATCTTAGTTTGATGAAGCTTTTTTCTTTACTTTGAATAAGTTCCGTGCCTTCAAATTCTTGCAATTCTCTTATAGAATGATTCATTGTGGGATTTATAGATTCTTGGCATATTTTCTTTCTACTCAACTATATGTCACCACAGAAACTGGTATTATTTTCATATGATGTGATATATTACAATATTGTCATACAAAACATAAAGCACTAACCTTTTTACGTATACTAATTCTAAATCATAATCCTAACTAAACAAAATGTGAAATGTAAGGAAATATGGAAACCAAGGAAATATTAAACTACTCAGATATTCTAAATTTATCTGAGATACAATAAAGATGCTATTGAATATCATATAATTTAATGCTAGAACACATTTTACTCTGAACTTCAAATTCAAGCGTTCTGCATGCCTTCAATTTCTGAATGAAATTTTTTCTTTAAAGCAGTGGTGCTATGTAAGGCTATGTTTGATTTACCATTAGAAATCTTAAAACAGACGTTGAGTCCATTGACACTTGACTCATGGATTCAGTTCAATGTGCTTTGCTAAGTGTGTCAACTAAGAACCAAACACATTAAGTATCATATGGTATAATGAACCCAAAGGTGATTTGAACTAGGGTAGAATATACAGCATATTGGTGATACACGCATTGTGGCTGAGGTTTAATAGCAATTATTAGCCCTTAGCCCTGTTTCTAAAAAACTGCTAGGGTTCTCTTGGTTAATAATTTTTCTTCAATATGGCATGCTTAATTATAGACATAAATATTGTCAACGAAAGTCTATTATCTATATAGTGTTTGAGCTGCTTGTTTTTGTATTGGTTGGTTGGACTTGGAGTAAAAAACTCAATTATTAATTTAGTGATAATTATATATATATATATATATATATATATATATATATATATATATATTTTATTTTTTTTTATTTTTTATTTTTTTTTTCAGTTTTTGTATTTTTCTGATATTTGCTCATTAAGAAGATCCCTGGACTTTGTCTTTTCATTAGTATATGACAATTATTAGGGTCAAACAACCTTGTTCCAGATAAATACTATGATTTTACATATGTTTCAGAAGCAGTTTTTCTGTGTAATAAAATAGGAGGAACTACTATTTTATTCAAATACTGACAATCTATTAGTTATTTTGTTAATTTTTTTAATAAACTAATGTGTGTCTTTTTTCTTCCCACACACATAAATGTTTCTCAAAACAACTGCTACCCAAGTACTCATATTATGGTTGTTACATGTAATATTGGATTACGGTTCGATGCTTTACTTTTATAATTTTATTATATTGACTTCCTTTTTCTTAAATTGTACAGCATATAGGTGATTTCACTTATCCAAGGCTTGCAGATTTTGGTGCTGCAATATCTGGGGCAAATAAATTGCAATGTCAGCAAGTTCTTGAAGAGCTAGATGTGAGCACCTTACCTTTGGCACTGACACTGAGAAACTCCAATTTGATGTAGTGAGACTATTTTTCCAGTTTTGTGTCGAAATAAGTTTTAATTTCTTTGGTAAAATTTATTTGGAAATTCAATGGTCTCCATTAGTATCAAATTAACATAGAAAGTGGGTTAACATATGGAAGACTGAAAATTCCTAATTTTGAGGTTTATTTATTATGTTGCTGAACAGGTGTATAAACGATTAAAACTTACCCTGGAGTTGGTAAAGAAAGAGATGGAAATCAGCAAGATTCAGGTAATAATGTCTTTAGCTTTCTTGTATGTGTTGCTCCGAACATTTCATGATATATTAAGGCTTGTTTTGATTCTTGTCAGGAATCAATTGCAAAAGCAATTGAAGAAAAGATAAGTGGTGAGCAGCGTCGTTACTTGCTAAATGAGCAGCTTAAAGCCATAAAGAAGGTACAAGTCAGTTGTTCAATTCTTTATGTGAACCTGCATGTGAGACACTCTTTGAATTATTTCTTCCCATGCATCGCCTCAACTAGTTAGCTAACTTGTCTCTTATGCATGATATCTTTCTTCCGTTGATAATGTCTAAATCCTAATTCCATGTCAGTGGAGCTTCTGAAATGTTCAATTAAGTTGTTTACACCAAGCCAATGATATGTTTTGCTGAATGCTCTACTAATTTTATTGGTCTTAATTTTATTTTCTTTTAATTTTCCTATTTGCAGGAGTTGGGACTGGAGACTGATGACAAAACAGCTCTTACTGGTTGGTTCTGATCTATAATGTCTAGTTTTAGTGCAAGATTGTCTTCTTTTATAACCTGTGTCATGATCATAGGATTGCTTCTGCATGCATATATATTTATGCAAGATCATTTAGCTTGTAGGACTTGCACTATGTGATTGAAGTCTGACTAGCAAAATTAGTAAAGAAGGTTCACATAACTTTAATTTATTTTTTAATCATGTCCTTTTTATATTTGTGTGCAGGATCCTTCAATTTTTTTGTACAGCACTATAGTGGGTATAGGAATATTCTTTATGTTGCACGTTTCTTTTGAATTCTGGTTGATGTTTTTTTCCCTTAGGTTGAATTTGAGTTACATAGCTTCTAGTTGTTTGTTCATGGAATATGTTTATTGGGCTATACCTTAACTTTTAATCATAACTGTTGAAGATTGATTTGATTTGATTTCATTAAATAAGGAGATATGACATGATTTGTTGGAGAAATATCTCACCACATATTTTTCATTATTGGATATTGGTTTTATTCCTTATTACTGTATCTCTTCTTCATTATAAATAAGTAGACTTATGTCTGTACACAACACACAAAATTCATTATATTAGAGTGACACCATCCTTTGGGACCTGCTTTGTAATTAATCCTTTCAACAATAACACTTGTTTGGTTTTTAATTTCAGGTAAGTTCAGGGAAAGGATTGAGCCGAAGAGAGAAAAATGCCCACCTCATATTTTACAAGTTATAGATGAAGAACTTGCAAAGCTGCAGCTGTTGGAGGCTAGTTCTAGTGAATTCAGTGTTACCCGTAACTACTTGGACTGGTTGACTGCACTGCCTTGGGGTGAATACAGGTATCCATGCATGGAATTTCATTCTTACTGTTATTGCTAGAGTAATTTAAATTTATTTGAGATTTCCTTGCTTACTTCATATGGACTCCACTTGTTACAATTCATGCCAGATAGATGTGTTCGATAACTTCAATTTAGGATAGCTGCCAAACAGGAGTTTGAAAAGGCCTTTAGGTGATAAATAAATGCATAAGCAATTAAGCATAGTGTTCAGAGGCTTTTGGATGAACTAGGGTTTTTATTTTATGAAAACTGTCATTTTTATGTTAACTACACACTATTTCAAATTTCATGAACTTTGATCAGTTAATTTCTCAATTCAGTGATGAGAACTTTGATGTTACTCGGGCGCAAAATATTCTTGATGAAGACCATTATGGATTAACTGATGTGAAGGAAAGGATACTGGAATTCATAGCTGTTGGGAAATTAAGAGGCACTTCACAAGGTAATCATGGTCCACCTGTATGATGTATCCTGAGGATCTGGTTTTTCATTTTATGCCAAATACTATGTGGTGAGTTACATTGTTATATTGATCTGGCTATTCACTACTACAAATTAATAGGTTAAATTTGAAAAATTGGTCCTTGCAACTTTTTGTTTTAGGCCCTACATAGAATGCTCTACATTTTGGTCCTTATATGAAAAAAATCTTTGCGGATTGGTCTTTGCAATTTGCTGAGGTTATGATGCCTTGTTGAGTTATTATTAATGTGGTATAGATGAAATTAAAAAAATGTGTCAGGTGTGAATAGCAAAGTATTGAGTTTTATTAATTTTATCGTTAAAATGAGTGCACTTTTTTTTTTCTCATGGGAGCTAAAAACATCAAGTATACAGATGAAATTTAACATTGTAATATTGATACAAACAAGGACCATTTTGTAAACGTTTATTAATGTAGAGACCAAAATGTAGGGATTTTTTTTTTCATGTGGCCAATATATATAATTTTTATAATTTATAATTTAACCCAAATACATTATTTCTATCATTTTTTCAGAATTCAGATAGGTGAGATACTTTAATTAAGTAGTACTCCCTCTCTTCCTCTTTAATTAGTAGTTTTTAGAAAAAAGTAGTTTATATTTATCTGTTATTTGTAAAGTTTAAGATTACAGTAATTATCTTTTTACCAATTATACTCTTATTTTTTAAACTATATTTATTGCAAAGAGAAAATATAACAAGTTATTATAAGTGATTTTAGATGGAGGGAGAAGATTAAAATGATAAGGGTATTCTTGGAAAAAAATAATAAATTTATTGAAAATAATGATAATAACTTTCTTAGTTGCGTAGTCAAACTTTAAATGACAGATATTGAAAAACAGAGAGAGTATTAAATGTTGTGTATGTTATATCTTGACAATAATTATGTATACAGTATTTTGTAGCAGGGCAACCTTGCTATGTAGTATGATATTATTTATTTTAATTAATATAGATTTTCTTTAAAATTTGAGTAATAATGAAAAATGTTTCTAACTTCGTTGACTGGGTCTGGCTTTGATATTGGTATAGTTGCCCGTTTTATGTATTTGGTATTGGTTCATGTTGAAATGGTTTTTAGATGTTGAATGTAGTATGCTAATTCATTTCTTTAAAGTTAAGCCTTTGGCGCTTAAATTTTTGCTTGCTCAAAAAGTGTAATAACATGGTTCCTGATCTTTCTGATATATGCAGGGAAAATTATCTGTCTTTCTGGTCCACCTGGAGTGGGCAAAACAAGTATTGGTCGATCAATTGCACGTGCCTTGAACCGTAAGTTCTTCCGATTCTCCGTGGGAGGATTAGCTGATGTGGCTGAAATAAAGGTAGCTCAAGTCTCTGTTTCCTTGTTACAATTGAATTATATAAACCAGTTCAATAGCAACATATGTTGTAATCTTCTGAATCCTCAATATTTTATTTTATAGGGTCATCGGCGAACCTATATTGGGGCTATGCCAGGGAAGATGGTACAATGCCTCAAGAACGTTGGCACAGCCAACCCCCTTGTTTTGATTGATGAGATTGACAAAGTAAATACATCTCTGAATGTTATTTTTTTTAGCTGATTAATTTACTGCATGCAATCCTGTTTCATTAAATTTACTATGATTTTTATCTTGTAAATCTGTAATAACAATACTAATCTAAGTATTAATATGTTTTATTCAATTGTTAGTTGGGAAGAGGACATGCTGGTGATCCAGCAAGTGCTTTGTTAGAGCTTCTGGATCCAGAGCAGAATGCTAATTTTCTGGACCACTATCTTGATGTTCCCATTGATCTATCAAAGGTATTTTATTTGACAATCTGAATCCTTAATAGTGAGGTTGTAGTATAATCAGCGTTTTGCATGGCTTATTCATCATGTGTTCATTGCTGTAGTTAGTTCTTAGGATGGGCAAATAATTCTTCAATGTATAGTTTCATTCCATTCCCTGAAGGCAAATATGCTTGATTTTACCATAATTACTTATGCAGTTATGTGTTGGAAATCTCACTGCAGGTTCTTTTTGTTTGCACTGCAAATGTTGTGGAAATGATACCTAATCCTTTGTTGGATAGAATGGAGGTTGTTGCTATTGCTGGGTATATTACTGATGAGAAAATTCACATTGCTAGAGATTATCTGGAGAAGACCACTCGAGAAGCTTGTGGAATAAAGCCTGAACAGGTATTTATGTTTGCTATCTGTTTTGCTGTCCCTTCTCCTGCAGAGAATGGGATATTGAAAGTCGAGCATAACGATGCCAGCGTTTGTTGCCTTTTGTGCTGAAAATATTGACTTTAAAAAACTCCCTTGCTTCAGGTGGAAGTGACTGATGCTGCTCTTCTCTCCCTCATAGAAAATTACTGCCGAGAAGCTGGGGTCAGAAACCTTCAAAAGCACATAGAGAAAATTTACCGAAAGGTCTATTTAATTTTGTCTTTTTGCAGTAAAAACTTAGTTACTGACACAGTGAAAAGGCTATATGGTGTGCATGGTTGAAATGACAGTCGATCATGATTTGTTTTGAATTTTTTACTGAAAAAGTTCATCACTATATCTGATTTTGAATCTAAAGTAAATGCTTCAGTTACCTTTGACAAAAAATGTTCTGTTTGTGGTGTGACAGATAGCATTACAACTTGTGAGGCAAGGGGAAATGATTGATGCCACCGTTTGCACTGCTCAGAGTATGGAACCAATCACTGACAAAGTTGACTCTGATGAATTGGGTCAAAATACAGTTCAAAAAGAGAACACTGACTTGGTAGAGGGTAGTGATCCAGAAAAAGTGGGTGAAACTTGTGATGAAGTTGACAAAGTGCGAACAGATCTATCATCCGATCAATCTCAATGTCTTGAGGTAGTTTAACTCTTTGGAAGTGCAATCAAATTCTCGCATCTATAAGAAATGATATTTTATTTGATTTATAAGTTCTATGTGCATGCCTTTTTGTGTTTTACACTGTACAACCTTGTGGTTTGTTACCAAAGTTTTTAAATGGTCAAAAACCTTGTGCACAAACTTAGTAGTTTGATTTATTTCCTATGAAAAACCGGATAATATTTGTTTTTCAATAGTCACTGATTGACTTTTTGATATATATATTTATATGAGAAGGGATTAAGTTACTCTAAGAAAATTATTCTTCTCCACACCTTTTATTTTCTCTTATTTAATGATTATAATAATCAACTTAATTTTAATCCTTAGCTTAAAAGGAAGAAGATGAAGAGTAAGTTTGAATAACTTGATCCTTCTCTCTCAGAGTACTTGTATATATGTATGTATGTATATGGATCTCTAATTATTTTTATATAAATGTATTTATTTTGGCAGGTTGTAAAAGAAAGTGAGGAAGATAAGGAAATTGAAAAGAAAACTATTGAAAAGGTCTTGGTTGATAAATCAAATTTACCCGACTTTGTAGGCAAGCCTGTCTTCCATGCTGAGCGCATCTATGATCAGACACCTGTTGGTGTTGTGATGGGCCTTGCCTGGACTGCCATGGGTGGTTCCACACTGTATATAGAGACCACCCTTGTTGAAGAAGGGGAGGGAAAAGGAACACTGCACCTCACTGGTCAATTAGGAGACGTGATGAAAGAAAGTGCTCAGATAGCTCACACAATTGCCAGAGCAATACTACTGGAAAGAGAACCAGAAAATCCTTTCTTTGCAAATACAAAACTGCACCTTCATGTCCCTGCAGGGGCTACACCAAAGGACGGACCAAGTGCTGGTTGCACAATGACCACTTCACTGTTGTCCCTCGCCATGAAGAAGCCTGTAAAGAAGGATTTAGCAATGACTGGGGAAGTGACACTTACAGGGAAGATTCTTCCCATTGGTGGGGTATGTAGAGAAAGACATTCTATTACAATATTATTGTTCATGACTTGTGGATGCAGAAACTTTTGGGAATCTTTAGATTCTATTGTTTGTCAAGTTATGGAATTTTTTATTTTGAAGGTTGTTACATATATTTCAACTAATAAAGAGTTGTATGTCCTCGACGAGTTGCCCCCTGCTTTCAGTATCTATTCACCAACTAAATTAAATTAAGAACCAAAAAAAAATTAAGTCCTCTATTAATGGTTGCCCAGCCAACAGATTATTCATCAGTAGCTACCCTTCAATGTTTTTTGTGCTGTGAATTCTTTTCTGTGCATTCTGTGTTTGAACTCAGTCGTGCAATGCTGTGAAAATTGCAGGTTAAAGAGAAAACAATAGCCGCAAGAAGGAGTGAAGTTAAGACTATTATATTCCCTTCGGCTAACAGGAGAGATTTTGATGAGCTAGCTCCTAATGTGAAAGAAGGTCTTGATGTTCATTTTGTTGATGACTACATGCAGATCTTTAATTTGGCTTTTGGTGATGAGAAATCTCAGAATATAAAGTAAGTCACTAATGCCTTGTAGGATCTTGAGATGAATCTTGATTCTTTGTTGAGCTGGGAACCAGCTGAATTTTGTACTATATTAATGTAGTACCAATTGTTTTTTGGTGTTTCTATTCATCTTTTGGGCTCAAGGTTAAAGATCATTTGCTTTTTTCAGACATTCCAATGTAATAACATGTATATTTTATATTTGAGGGGATGGTAGGCGTGATCAGGGAGTGTTCATACTTAACGGAGAATATTCCAATATTGACAATAACACAAAATTACTTTCCAAATTAAGATTCGTTTTTTTGGAGACACACAGGGTAGGGTTGAAGAGTGTGCTACTTAATGACTGAATGTATGTGTCTTTCTATTTACTTATGTATGTGTGTGTATATATATATATTACAAAAAACGAAGCTAGAGTTAGAGAGTCAGCATACCAATACATACATACACACCACACGTGTAAACATACTGAAGGGATAGGGATATGGAGAAAGGGTGTCAGTAATACATTCCTTGTTCTTTTGATACAATATAATATACCTGTGAGGACTGGTGGTTTGTCTGCCTCATGCGTATCATTTTATTTTCCCATTGTTATTACTAAAAGAACTCAAATCAGTTGCAGAGTCAATACAAGGGCTGAGGGCCTTATTCAAAAGTTCATAAGGATTTTGAAAACTTAAGCAGAGCACACTCTCAAAACTTTAATACAAGAGTAATCGTATTTTTAGTAGTTGTTTTATGTATAGTAAGATAGTGAGCACTTGTATGGTGGTGATTTACTGAAATGGAGATATCTATTTACCTTGGAAGTGGAGAGGATTTGACACCACCTATCGTAAGTAACTATCATCAATTCATAGTTACTACTTTTTAGAAGTACAGCGTTCGGCCAACCCCATGCGATTTTTATTTTATTTTCTTTTATCGGTATATGATTTATTACTCATGATCTTTTCTAGTATTCTTTGAGTTGTTGCATCATAAGATAAAGTTAAAAAAGATGAAAAACATTCTTTTAAAGATATGAATTATGGAGAGAGCGTGAGGGAGTAGGGGTAGACAATGTCATGTAGATCATGACCAACAGAAAATTGAGTGGTTCCTTCGCCTAAATGCCAATTAAAATAAGCAGAATGCGAACTAGGAAAAGTTCTTCGGCTTAACTCTAGCAATCTCTTATCGCTTTGCAATAGCTTCATGTAGTGTTGGTCAAGAACTCCAGGAGGAAATTGCAGATAGTGTCTCCTGAACAGGAATGTTTGTCAGCAACATAGATTATTTTTTAACTTTAAACACATGAACCAAAAGATATGATTTGTAATTCAACATAGAATAAAAAAATATAAAATGTAGAAAGTTTAATAATATACCGGTATTGTGAAGCTTGGGCATGGGTGAAGTCATGAGATGTAGTCCACATAGTATGTTTTTTGGGCTTTGGTTCAATCTCCTGAAAGAATGATGGTACTTTCTCTAACTGTACATGGACACAAGACTTCATCATTCTCTTAAATAACCTTTTTTAATCACTTAACAATTTAGGTTCAATTTTATATTATTAAGTTTAATTTTTTTTATAATGCTATTTATTAGATTTCCTTCAACAATTATATGTATTAACACTAAATGAATACAAAAATAAGGAACCAAATTAATAGTAATTATCCCTGTTTATTTAATTACAATATATTATCTTGGAGTATCTTAATCTTCTTCAACTGGGGTTTTTAAACAACTAAAAAAATAATTACTCTTGAAATAAAATAATTTTATTTTCTTTTAAAAATTATTATTTAAATTTATGTTTTAGTTATAATTTTGAAATTCCTCTTAACAAATAATTAATTTTTCTTATAATTATAAATATTCTACTCTTTTAAATTTTACATAATTTCAAATAAAATAATGGAAGGACGAATGAAATGTTGACAGTTTGCAATGACTTTGGATTCATTATCCATTGAGCTTGCTTTATGATTATTTTAATGTCCATACTTTTTCAAATTATCAACTTAATTATTTAATTTATGTATAAGAAATGAAGAGCTAAAGTTGCATCGTGACATTGCAATTGCATTTCTTATTTATCTTCGCCCACTTACCACTTCTATAACTTTCCTAGCTTTCTATTTTATTATTCATCTTATAATAACTAAAAATGAATAATTATCATATTAATTCATATACATTTAAAAATGAAACCCATTATTTCAACTAATATTTATTCCTAACTATTATGCTGATACGAATTCAAAATTTTAGAAATATTTTGTTTTTTTCCTCAATAGAACTAACAAATTTATCAACCCACATTTTAAATCAATTTATGTATATAAGACTCCAATCTATAATTTTTTCTAAACTAATAATCTTATATTTTACTTTGACATTTTTATTTGTTCAAATCTTCAACTTTTCAAAAATCTTGTATTTTTTTAAAAGTTTTTATATTTTTAAATTGATTAGTTTAATTTTCTAATTTTTGAAAATATATTTAAAATTTTATATAAATTTAATATTTAATGACGATTTTTAATTTTCACAAATTTGATAAAAAAAAATTAAATTCATATTTTCAAAAATTTGAGGACTAATTAATCAACTTTAAAATACAGATATTAAAATGAAATTTCACAAAAATTACATCAATGAAAACATATCTATCCTTTATAATAAATACAATAAAGAAAAAAATACCTCAATTTCGAGAATTCCCGGTGAGTTTTCCTGTATAACAGCACGAATGGCTGATATATTCTGATACTGTATTTCAATTTTGTACTTCAGACCATCGTGTAATATCTCCCACATTAGTTTTTGTCTTGCATAATAACACTTAGCCACCAATTCATAAGGATATTTAGCCTCAATCTGCACCTCATTCAATTCTACTCAATAATTTGTTCAACAACAATGATGATACTGAACTTTATATGAATATTCTTTTTTGCCAGTTGCAGAACATAAAAAAATTGACTGTTTCTAGAATACAATTGGAGGCTCTAACTTAGCCATAGAAGCCAAAATGAAAAGTGATGAAGAATAAGGTCAAAAGTATTTGTAGAAAACAATTTTCTATCTGCATTCAACGTTCTACCTTTGACCTACGGTTATCATTATATAATTACGTACCTTAAAGGACCCGATTCTCAGCATATCCATTGGAAACTGCACAGCCTTCAGTTTCTCAATCTTGTTGCCTGCAACTTCACTTGGTTGCAGCATTTCAGGAGTCATAGTGAATTTTAAACCAAGGGGTGGTGGAAGCTGCGAAAATTCTTTCAGTGCCTGTGCACAAAAGATGAAAAACACAAATGCATAATCATCAACATCAATCTCAGCACAACAAAAAAGCGAGAGGAAAATGCAATGCAATGTAATAATGTAAGTGACTCTATAGAAGAAATTGAATATTCTGATACCATAATTTGCATGCATGACAAGAAATGCATACCCTTTTACACGCAGTTTGTGCATCATCATCACAATATTCGTTGTGGTGGTCATCCTGAAGGTATGAGAAATACAAAAACTGATTCTCTGAAGAGTTATATTTATATGAAGAAGCCATGGCAATGTCTTGGTGGTGGGTGAATCCTCCTTGGCAAACACTGTCATTGGATCCAGTGCTGTGCGCCATAGAAGCAGTTTCAGATATGAATGCAGCAAGCTCAAGCTGCAGAGGAATCTGAGTTTTGTGGAAGGCTTGTTCATGATTTGTGTTATGTTACTCGTGGTTATATATTATCTCTGATCGCGATAGTTTTCATGTATTTTATTTTGAGTTTATCTTTAAAGTCTGAACAAAGTGGACTAATCATAGCTTTTTTGAAGAAAAAAAGAAGTGAGTGGAGTAATTTAACTTACGTAGAAGTTTCCTTCTTTTCAATTACTAAAATAGGCTGATTTCATGTTTATGTATTTTGAATCAAAGTTGAAGTTTTACTCAGAATTATGCATGACAAATTATTTCAAATATTTAATAAAATTGTATGTTCAAGATTTAAATTTGAGATTATTAATTAAATTTAAATAATTATATGTGTGTAGTAATAATAAAAGATTCAAGTTAAATAGGGCCCACTATTAATATTAAAATAATTTTGTACACTTTTTCCAATGAAATTTTTTATTAAAATGTTTATATTTTTTATTTATAGATTTTTTTTATGTGAGTAAAAACTGAGGAAAAATAATATTGAAAGAAAGTATGTCTTACAAGTATATAAATCTATGAATAAAAAGTGTTTTAAAAAAAGTCAATAAAATAAATTATAAATAAGTTAAATTAATCAAACCTAAATTTGTTCAAAGCTCAAACTCAAACTTACGATTAAACTTACTTTTAATTTTCCAGTATAACAATTTAATTTTATAATTTTAATTTATCCATTTTTCAATTGTGTCAATTATAGCTCATTCTGTATCTTGAACCTTTTATTTTTAATCTCCTGATTGCAATTAGGTCACATCTACCACAATTATTTCCTTTTAGTCTCCAAAAATGCCATTAATCAATATCTAATGATAAATTAAAATAGCATGGCTATGATATTCGAGAGATTGTTACTTTTCAAATTATACTCTATTTATTATCACAAGCTTTTTAAATTAGTTATTAAATCAGTCTCCAAAATTTAGGTACTAATAAAGTCAATATGACTTTGAATTTAGATTCTAATTTAGTTTATAATTATTTACTGCCTAATTCTTTAAATTTATTGACCATTAATTTAGTTTTTATAAATATTTTTTCTTATAATGAAATAAATAAATCTAACTTTTTAGTAACTCATTTTCTTCCTACCAACTAGAGAAACACGAGGTGTGAAGAAATTTTTCAGGCATTCATGATGTGAAATTTACGTTATTTATTATTATATTAATAAATAATAAAAATAAAAATATTAAAATAATAAAATAAATTTATTAATAACAAGTACATTTTTCTTTTTTTATTTTTTTATTTTCACTTTCTTTTCTTTTAATTCAAACAATCTCACTCTTTTTTTTTCACACTTTTAATCATTTAATCCAAACATAACATAAATATAAATTTCAAACACTCTACTCTTTTAAACCTTACCGTGATTGACGAAAATACAAGAAATATAATTTTAAATTATATAATTTGAATTAAAAGTTACGATTAAAATTACTTTTATATATTTCTCTCACATCATACACTGTGTCATATATATACGTATATTTCTATTTGATCTATAAAAAACTTTATATGAACAAGAAAAACAAATCTAAAGTATATACTTATACATAGATAATTATTATTTTTTTAATTACCACTCTAAAGTTAATATTTTTCTTATCTAAAAATAAAGCCTAGAAAATAAATAATAGATGTTATATTATTTATTTATTTACTAATAATAAGAAGAAAATTAATACAAAGCATAAGATAAAAATCAGAACATAGCAAATTTCAACCATACTCTTTCTTACTAGTAGATGATGTATATTATTTTTTATTTATATTATTTCCCTTATTTACTAATTATATATATAATATAAAGAAATATTTAGCTTGTGTTTGAATTTGGGTGGATTTTAGGGGAAAAAAAGAGAGAATAAATAATAGGTTTATTTGAATTAAGGACAAAAAGGTAAAAAAAATTAAATTTATGTATTTATTATAAATATTTTATTTAATAATTTAAAATATTTTTTAATATACATTTTTAATTATTTATTATTATTATAATAATTAAAGAATAAAAAGTATATTAATTATAATTTTTCAAAAATATATCCTTAAACATAATATAGCATTTAGTTATATAATAAAAGATGTATCCATCTTTTTTGGCATTGGTGTAAATTTTGTTTTTATTTTGTAATTTTTTGTAGTGAAATGTGTGATATTACTTTTTCATCTATCCAAACATGGAAAGAAAGAAAAAGAAAAAAAGAAGCTTAATCTTGTTTAATTTTTACTTACATAAATAGAAGGAGGAAGACAAGGAATAGGAAAAAGGGCGTGAGTGAAGAATTGTAATCATCCATCACGAGCTCTTAGAAGCAGATTAACATGTTAGGGAAGATAATTGTAGAAAAGTCAAACAAATTCAACAACCAAATGAAATCATATGAGGAGGTTAATAATGATTACATGAATTGATTCAAAAAAGACGCAGCAGCAGCACTGCTACTATTGCTGTGTATGCATTTCCTTCCACGCTCCCAACCAGAATGACACAAAGTGGTCACATGACTCCCAGTCTCACGACGGCTAATGAATGAGATGCTTCCAGATTTTGTGACGTAACAAGACCTGCCAAATCTTTCTCCCTCCTCACGCGTATCCAAATATTCCAATTTCTTTATTCATCTCGATAACAATCATATCCTAAACCTTTCAGCGTGCCGTCATTGAACCTGAAAGCGACACCAAAGTTGATCGCACCATATTATTATCCATCACATGGATGGAGTACGAAAGTATATACTATTTGAATTTATTGAGTTGATGTTGATGATCAGAGTTTGGTGACATGACGAGTGTGTGAAGTTGATTTCATGGTGATGTAAAAAATTGTAGTTTTGGATTATAGTGATGAAGGAAGTGTGAAATGATTTGCAATGTGCAGCAAGTAATGATTGGAGACTAAGATTTCTACGGTGTGATGTTTGAATTGTGAACACGCAATACCACGAAAACTACCCAATTGCATTTTCAGAGTGGAGAGTGGAGACCCACCATGAGATTGAGAGGTCACAGCAGTTAAGAGGGTTTGAATATGGTGATGCATGAACCTGCATATGCATTAATTATTAGAAAATAAAAGCAGAATCACATATATGCAGAGTTCAGAGCGCATAGATTATATAATAATGGTAAGAATCTACGTGTGAGATTGTGTTAGTCAATTTTCTGCTGATAAAACTCCAAAAAGCCATCCACGTGTTTGGTGTGTCATTCCATTTTATGATCTGCTTAGTTTAACAAATACTATATATCATGGTTTCTAAATAAATAAAAAATTCATACGTGGATCCCACCTTCGTTACATACGTTTTTCTTGATATTTGTAAAACAAAACGCACGTGACATCTTTTTCATGTACAAAATCTAATGTCACTTCAAAGAGTGGATAGATATAACAGCAAAAAAGTTTGGAAGTACGTTGCGTCATGTTTTTTGTAATTTGCTCAAAATCTCATACATTCACTAAATAATTAGTGATTACTATTCGACAAAACATGATTGTATATTTGGACATATGATACATATTCTCAATTATATTTATGATTTATTTCCCTATCTATCCATGACAAGAGGAAGGGATAATATCAAAAATACACATTCATTTCTTCATTTAATTATATGTATTTAAGGAATAGAAGTGTTAGAAATTAAACCTATTAATTAATTATTAGGATCATCACTATCTACTTTCCACGTATAAAAGCTTGCCCAACTTATGCAATATCGAATGTCTGCCCGACTCTAAAATTAATAAATATAAAAAATCAATTTATTAAATAGATGGTTTATATGTAAGGTGGTCCTTTGATTTAGGTTATCTTTGTTTCACATTAGATATCTTTTTAAAAATATTATATTATTATATTTATCAATTATCAATAGAGGGACCACTAATGATCCCATAATCCTAAAATAAGTGAAGGTGTATTTATATAGTTGATTACAACTTTTTGGTATGTTATTTAAGTGATTTTTTTTTGTAGCTATAAGAAATATGTATAAAGAAAAATAATATTCATTTTCTTGGAGATACGAACCAATACTCCTAAGACACCCATTAAAAAAAGTGATTCTTTTTTTATTGAAAAGTGTAACAATATGCACTCCTATGTAAATTTTAAAGCGACTCCGACAATATTTTTTCTTTCGTTTATTTATTTCTTTATTAGTATATTTTGGATATTGGCAGCAAGACCAATTTATTTTACGATCCTAGTGTATTAAGAAATGCTAACTCCTTTCTTAAGCAGACTCATTCATGGACTTACTAACAATATAAAACATATTTATTAGCAAAACAATATCCCTCCAATTACAAACGATGCTATTAAATATATTTACCACTTAAATAATCTAATTTTTAGATACTTTTGATATAAAATTCGTATGATATTATTAATTAAAAATAATTAACTTAACTATTTTAATTATTCATGATAAATTACCTATTTATTTGGTTCTTATATAAGGGATTAGAAGTAGTATATTGATGTTGAACTTATTATTCAATAATTTACTTATCATTTTAGTGGAAGTAGGGAATGGCTGCATTAGTATTATGAAATAACATTTGAATATGAATATGTTTAGAGCTTGAAGCATCGATGATAATATTGCACTTTGTTGAGGATGGAACCAATAGTGAAGTTGAAGTAGATTGAGATAGAAACTTCAAGGTGGTGAGTGATCAGAGAGATCGTTATATTGCAATCCATTTCAGAAGTGACCAGCAATAATAGAGGAGATTTTCAAGGAAGTTAATTTCAATAAACATTAAACTGATTTACAGGAAAGTTCAAGAATCTGAGGATAAAAAAAAAAGGGAGTACGAGATGATAAATTGATGAGAGCAAAAGAAAGTGCACCGCTGTTTATGTTAACTAATTTAGCTTCCCTGAAAGGCTATTTGAATATTGTTTGAATATTTCATTCTTCGTTTGTTTCGAGATTGATGGCAAAATGTTAATTACTTGTTAAAATGAAAACTAATATTGAGGAAGAGTTTACTTTGCAGGAATTTTCTTGAAGTTGTTATCTCTTGTCATTCATTAATTTATATATTAAAAAAATATTTTTCGCATGGACTTGAAGATTGGCTGTTTAATTTATAGATTTTTCTTGCAGATTAATGTGAACATGAGGGAGTTTTACAAACACGGTATCCCTTAACTCAATCCCCATCTTGTCATTCAGAAATTAAAAGCTGCCAACTCTCGAATCCAGATGCTTAGGATCGGCAATTTCAAGGTCCTTTTTCTAATAAACCAAATACTCTGGTCAATATAGCTTAATGCAATAGTTTCTTATATATATTCTCATATTTCTTCACAATTTTCATTAACTCATGGAGCCATTACTTAAAAGTAAATAAATACTATCTTATTATAAATCATAATAGAATGTCCGAATAATATTTTTTTCATAAACATTCTATTCTTACAACATAATTTCTGAGTAATTTTAACGATAGGTTAACATCTAAAAAAAAGAATAAAAAAAGGAAATGGTAGAGTTACAATGGGTGGCAAAAACTGGTGTGGGAAATATTAACTAATTTTCGTGCACAAATTTCAAATTCAATGGCAAAATATTTCGGCAATCCGAGCTGTTTTTAGGGGAAATTGGTCAGGAATTCTAGAAATTAAGGTTTTTCTTGTACTTTTATATATATATATAACTTTGTTACAGTGCAACATAAACTTTAATATCAAAACAGTAAATATTTAAAAAAATAAATTTAATCGTTATATTCTGTACAATTTCTTAATTAACTTTCTATGAAATGTTTTGATTTTTTTTTCCTTTCGTCATCTTTACTGTTTGACAATGTAAAAACAATTTTTACTTTAATCCCAAGTTCTTGACCAATGCAATAATTTTAAGTCAAAGACTTTTTCCTGGTTTAAATTCTGCTTATTTTGATTCACATATAAATCAAGAGTTCTTATAATCATAATTATTTAGTTGCTTGAAATATGAAAGCATTGACATTGGCACAGCAGCTATGCCAGTTAATTCTCTCATCATGAGAATCTCATATCCATTATGTATTATATTTAATGTTACGTTTATATCATTAAAATATTTGACATGGTCTTCTTTACATTATTAATGAAATAGTATCATGTGCTTATTAACAATTCGTTAACTAAGTTTTTTCACTTAAAAATGTAATTTTATATTAAAATAGAATTAAAGAATTAATCTTTAAATATGAAATTGGGAAACAAACATGGACTCAGAAAGACTATAACTTACACGCAATTAAGATAACCATTTTTTAATTAAAAATGACAATGACCTTAAAAATTATGTTATATCATATTAATAAGTATTAAAATTAACTCAATTAAAAAATAATATAAAATAAATGAAACCACAAAATAAATCTTTCTATTACATAGTTATATGCCTAGTTATGTTATGTAAAAGATGTTCATAACAAAAATAAAATAAAAAAAATTAGACAGCACTTAATACTTCTGAAGGCTTTGTTAGAACATTATTTCCAAATGATGGTTGGTTAGCAATATATAAAAAAAAATGATATAGGAAACAAAAAAATGCAAATACACAGTCTAAAAGAAATGGAACAAAGTTTGTAAAAATAACATGATGATACATCAAAATAATAATATTTTTATATTCTAGTCAAATAATTATAATAAAATGACATTTTACTGTTCTTTTAAGAAAAATTGGAAGACTGATAAAAACTATCATGTTTGAAGTCGTCGGTTATAATAATCTATATACGCATGATTATAATTTTATCAATTAAATACAAAGAAATGAAATAATGTCATCAGAAAAAAAAAAAAAAAAAAGAGGAGGGTATTAGAATATAAACATTAAAAAAAAATCCCCCTTTGGATGGCAGTGTGTACCATAATTGAATTAGTATTAATAATATTAAAAGAACACTAATTTTATAATAGTAGCACAGTTAACACTTTATAATATTAAAAACTAAAAAAATAAAACATCATTTTGTACGTTCTTAAGAAGATTAAGATGTAAAGTACAAAATTTTCAAATAAAAAATTTCAATAATATGTACTCAAATGTATTTTTCTTTATCTTTATTTTTAATTTTTTTATAATCTAATAATTTAGAATAATAATTCATTAAACATTATACTAAAAAAATTGAATGACAAAAAATAAAGAATAAATCTTTTATTGTTACTCTTAGAATAAACTAATTTCTTTATATATATATATATATATATATATATATATATATATATATATATATATATATATATATAAGTTTATATTTAGAATACAAAAAGAAGCAATATTTTAGATTTACAATTGTATTTTTTAAGAAAACCACTAAAATGGTATTGTGTTAAACTTTACATGTTAAAACAAAGGTTTTACCAAATTTCTGATTCTTAATTGATCTTATTATTTTAATTTAGATGTAGTTAGAAAATATAACTCTTTCATTCCAACTATGTAGATTGAAATTGAAGTCACTCACCTTCGTTCATTCACTTGTAAAGAATCAGTAATCCATAGTATTTGCATCTGTGCCTACAGTTGAGCAAAGGAAACAAGACTGTTATCGGATATTTAATTTTCAATATTAAATAGTATATTGAGTCACAAAAGAATGTTTTCTGGATAAGGTAATTGATCAGACGCTTTTCAATTTATATCTACCTTACTTTCATAAATTCTTAAAAGAATTCAATTGTAAATGAAGCCAGGTAACTCTGAAGGGTAGTGTTCTGATTTATATTAGAATATATACTCCAAATTTTATAATTTATATCAATCACAAAAACACTCTTACGAAGAAAGACATCTTATCCTCTAATTTTTACTAAAAAATATATTTTACCCGCGTACCGCAAATTTTACTTTAAAAACTTCCCTACCATGATTCTATTTTCCACCTGTTGACTGTCTACTTAAACTAAAATGCAACCAAAATAAAGACCATTATCATTGGCAAAGGTTAATGTAATAAATGAAAAGCTAATGTAGTAATCAATATGTACAGTCACAACAATGCAGATAATAAAGAAGTCGTTTAGTCTCAATTCAAGTTATGAAAACAGTTAAAAGTTACTTGGGAAAAGAAATACTACTAGAAGACTTTATAATTTTAATCGATTTTTTAAGCTGGAAATGGCCTGAAAAAATTTATTGCTTTATGGTAATTGAGTTATGTTGTAAAACTAAATCCAAACAAGAGGGCTTCAACCTTTATGGCATATACCATGATACACACATTGTATACCCATATATCTATCAACCTTCACAAGTTTAAAGAAAAAAAAAATCAGTCAATCAACAACAGACTTTGAAGTTTCATTAAATAATTTCATCAATGTTGCATACTACACAACTTAGTGCCAAGATTCATCTAAACTGCAGTGAAGTTCTACAAAGTGTCAATATAATATATTTACCAGATGTGATCACTTCAGTTACAATACTGCTGCAGGGTTGTTGAATTTGCAGCTCAAGTCTTTGTAATTGATAGAGGTGATTTGCCAGAACCTTCCAATACTGCTGTGGGATCAGAGGACCTGGTTGCAGTTTCATCTGGTCCATCCAAATTTATTTCACTGAAGCTTCTTTTCTTTGACGGGGTATTTGAATTTGCGCTTTCATTTTCCTTCTGCTTTCCCTTGCCTTTTTCTTTTCTGCTGCTAGCCTCCTTATCAGGTTGCGGTTCTCCATTAGGAAGTGGAAACAATGGAGGCTCCTGGCCACTCAATCGACAAAAAACTCGCTCAACAGTTTCACTTATCTCTTTTCCCAGGCCATTATTGTCTACAATTAAATCCCAAACTGATTTTGAGGCTTTTTCAAGAACAGAAGCTCTGCATGAAATAAAACATTGATGTAAGAAAAAGGGCAGACAACCAGTGAACCAAATATGCATATCAATATGTTTTGAACAGAAACATATACAGTGATAATCATGAAGATATAATCCTAACGGGAATAATGACTTCTAACAGTGTAAGAATTCTTCCAAGGCCCACATATAGCATCTATAAGAAAACACAGGGGAAAGTTATTTCAGGAGATAAGAGGGTAAATAGAAGAATTTATGCAGTGTGCTTCTATTTAGTCTAAAGTATGCCAAAAGGAGTGAGTCATAATTATTTTGTAATTTGTGGTACCAAGTAGCTGTGCATTGAAGAGGCCTGATTATGTAGTATTTAACATATGGAATGGTCTGACATACAGCTTCTACTTTCCAAATATGCAAAACCGTTGTGGGGCAGGGCATACAAGGTTAATAACAGAGATGAGTAAACCCCTGCGAGAAGATATAAATAAAAAAACATCACTTTGGTTTGGTCCTCTAAAAAATCTTTAGATTAATTTTGAACCTCAACGATATACATTCTTCCGTAATGACAGGAAGGGTTCAAACTACAAAGGCCCTTCTTTCCTGGGTTGTTCAGATCTCATTTGCACTTAACATTTTTCCCAAGCACTGTTATTCTAGATCAATTTAGAGATCAACACTAAGAACCAAATTTGAGCATGCCACTCAAACTTTGGCAGCAACATTAATGTAACTTAAGAAAGAGGTAAGAAGCCTGCATAGAGATCAGGTTGGATCTCATGCTGCAATTCTAAAAGGTGACTACAAATCTACAAACCATTGGACTTTCTGGAAGGTAACCCTAGAGGATGTAAAGATTTTAGATTTGAATATCAAAGTTCGGTAATTAAACCCAATCTGTGACTTTGAACCTGGATAAACAACCTAAAACCTGAGGTAGAAGAAGCTTAAATTTTATAGTTGATCTAGGATTAATTAAAACATAAAAATGGTCAAGTCAACAAGTTACCTGATAAGTGGAATATGTTATGCCATATAGTGTGTGAAAATTACTGATCTTTGAGAAAATTTACGTCATGGCTAATTTGATAGTGAAGTGATAAATTTGAAAACTACAAAATATTACCATATTTGTAGGATTTGCTATCTTTCATTCAAAATTATTCTAGTAGTTAATTGTTAGAGTACAAAGTAATGCAAGCAGAATAGGTCCTGTATGTACAAATACTTGGAAACTAAGTTGGGACAGAATTCAACATCTTCAAATATTTGTATATTCTATTTCAACCAAACATAATTTATTCATCCCTTCTGAGCACTGGTTGTCACTAATTTGCAGATTGGTTAGGTTCAGGCAGCTGCAGAGTAGTAGAACGGTCAACAATGAACATAGAATATAGCAAAGTAGTACATGCTAGTAAATAGTGCAAAGAACCAACAAGGAGATAATGGAGAAAAAAGAATAAAGTGAACAAAAGAAGGAAACCGACCAGAGATGGAAGAAAAGGAAAAGCTAGTTGTGGCTTTATACATCCAAATATATTTAAATTGATTTGAATCAAATTAAAAAGTTTAAATTGAAATAACCTCTCGTATTAATTAAGGGCCACTGCTACAGGTTTTAAAAATCATTACTTGCAAGGAATAAAATTAAAATTGATAGCCAACTAAACAATCGTGCTTGCGACCGGTAGTGTTAGGATAAATAATAAAAATCCATGATATAACTATGTGTAAATAACTTTTTGAAAAGTACCTTAAAAATGCATATAATAAAGAAATAAATATATATAATATAGATTCGATATATATCTATATGTTGTATAGTATCTTGAGTTAATTTTTATTCATAATATGAGATTTTTAATTTCTAATAGCCTATTAATATATCAAAATGTATTGCAAACCTTAGCATACTTGCTATTTATACCCTCAGCATATCAATACCTCGAAAAGGTTGCGTAATAGTACCTATACCACATACCAGACAGTATGTAAACCTGGGGTTGTGTTCTATTGTATATAGTAGGAGATTTCAAGGTCAACCCAAGAACATGGGAGGGCCTAAGTGAAAGGAGTCTTCTGCAAGATAAGAGTGGTTATGTGTGGCGTGAGTATTACTCACACTGGCTAATTTGGATCAAGACAGGACTTACATTATGTACACAGATTTGATTTATGTTCAATATAAGTATTCAGTGGCCGCCTGTATCAGAATAAAGAATTAAAGAATATAGAACATTTAGGTTCATGGTCACTTACTCAAGTTCTTGCCGAAGTGCATCAAAGAGCTCTCTTTTGGTTTGTTTTTCAGCCCCAGGGGTGTTCAGAACCTTACTCTGCTCAGCCATCTTTATAGTAGTACTCTTCAACTCCTCCTGTAAGAAACAACACAACCCGCTCAGACTGAAGTTGAGAGAAAATTGAAGAGAAACAGACACGTAAAGACGTTATTAGAACTTACAAAAGAATTAGGAGGATTCGAAATTTAAAAAAAAAAAAAAAAAAAAAAAAGGTAGAAACTACATTGGCTTTGAGCTGGTTGATGATCTTCAATCTGAGGGCATCAATTGTGCCATCGTTCATCAGCGACTCCAACACATCTTCAGGAGTGATTATTGAGGAAGAAGCCATATGTAATTGTCCGCGTTGAACCGCAGCCGAAGCTAAAACTCGGAAGAATTTCGATCTTCGTTAGAATAGTTGGGTACCGACAAATGTCGGTTTGAAAACACGGTAATACAAGGGACAGAGAACAATCCTGAATTCTGAAAACCCTAATATGTGAATTTGTGGGAAGTAGAACAATCTTGAACTCTAAAAACCCTAATACGAATGAATGAAAGAAGACGCTGGAGACTTGTCAATCACTCCCCCCTCCTGATCTATGATAATTAAAACCATATTAAATGCGCGTATTGAATGACATTTTTCATATACACTATTATTCTCCATCTTAAAAATCTCAAATGATCCAATATTTTGGTAGGGTCGACACTTGATCAAAAAAATTATTTAGAAATAAAAAAATATTTTATTATAAATCTCCTATATAAACTATTTAAAATTAAAAAAAATATATATTTAAATTAAAAAATGTTATTTATATAAATAATTTTGATAATTTTAAATAACTCATTTATAAAGTTATAATAAATAATTTTTTATTTTGAAGTAATTTATTTTAATTATTGGAGATATCTTAATTATTGTATATTTTTAAAAATTATTTAATAAATATTATTTAAATGTTAGAACTATAGATGGAGATAAATAGAAGTCTAATTGATCTTTGTGATCTTTTTCATAATTTATAGATACAAATTAATAATTTTAAAGATTAATAAATCTTGAATAAAGTAAAAACATAATTAAAGAAAGTGAAAGAAACACAAAAAATTATACTTGGTTCACCAAAATCATCATCACTAAGTTATATTTTGTTCTCAACAAAATTTCAATTGAGTCTCATTAGATTGAATAATTTAATTTACTAAGAAAATCTAACATGCATCAAGAACCAAATTTTAGTTCTTGAACCCAACCTACAACGAAAGTTCAGTTGCAGAACCAAACATATATCAAGAACCAAATTTCAGTTATTGAACCTAACCTGCAACCAAATTCTAGCAGAATCAAACTTACACCAAGATCTAAATTCCAATTGCAAAACTGGTGCCCAATCTTTCAAACACTAAGACTATAAAATAAAATTAAAAGAATGAAGAAATTAGAACAATCAAATCCGATTATATAGATATAAAAATCTTAGTGCAAAATGAGTTTTTTTCCAAGTAAAAATACAAAAAATGTCTAAAGAAAAAACTTTGAAAATTCTCACTAAAAATATGTGTTTCTCTAACTTTTTCCCTATTTATCTCTGTTTATATAGAGATTTCTAAAAATATGAATTTCTAAAATATGTGTTTTTAAAACGTTAAACCAAATCTGTTTATATAAAGATTTATCTAACAAATTAATTTAATTAATCGGTTAATTCGTCTTTTAATCAATTAAACTAACTTGATTTTAACTGATGAAAATATTATTTAATGGATTAAATACCTTCTAGAATTATTTTAACTAATAAAAATATAATTTAATCCATTAAAAATTACACAAAAATTTTTAAGTGATTTTAATCAATTAATTTAAAGTTTAATCGATTAAAATATTAACAAAATATTTTTTAAAATTTCATAAATATTTTTAATTGATTAATTTAAATATATATCAATTAAAATAAATATACATATATCCTATTATAGTTTTAATTAATACATATTCAAATTAATTGAATAAAATATCTTAAAAAATAATAGATATTCAAATTAATTGAATAAAATCTCTTAAAAATTAATGAAATATTACGTATAAAGATGAAAAATAAGTTATAAACCATATTGGTCCGAGCCGTGAGTCGGCCCGTATAACCGATTAGTCCAATTTCACGAAAAAAAACAAAAAAATAACGTTCGAGTCCCTCGCCTCACCTTCCCTCATGCTTACCTTCCACCCGAAACCTTTGGTCTTCTCCGCCGTAGCCATGTCTGGGCCACACTCACACCAGCCGGAACGGAAAATCACCATAGCCGCAGAGAATTATCCGGTGCCACTGTCCCCTACGCTTCCCCCAATCTCCAAGCAAATCGAGCTCAGCAGAGCCATGACCGCTTCTTCAAACTCAAGCCTCTATTCCCTCTCACCCGCGGACATTCTCTACCACGACGATCACATCATCGCAGTCAACAAGCACAACGGAATTTACTGCGAGACCCTCCTTTCCTCCCTCGCTTCCCAATCGGACGAGCTTCACCTCGCTAATCGACTCGACCGCGACACCAGTGGCATATTGCTCTTAACTAAGTCGCACAAGGTAGCCGCGAAACTTGTCAAGGCCTTCACCGAACACAAAGTGAAGAAAACATACATTGCCCTATGCACCGGTCCTCCTCCAAATTGGGAGCAGGTCACCGTCAGATCCGGTCACGGGAGGTCCAAGTTTGGCGCTTGGCGAGTCTACGCTGCTTCCGATGTGGGACGCACGCTACCGGGTGGCTCGGTCGTCCGGTCCATGGAGACTTCCTTTGAGGTGTTGTCGGTAAACGGAAATGGCGGCTTCAGGGAGGTCTCTGATACGGGCGACGCGGGAAATGTTTTGGTGGTTGAAGAAAAAGCGGTGAAAGAGGATTGTAATGACAGTGAGATAGTGGTGAGAGCGTATCCTCGGAGTGGAAGAACGCATCAGATTCGCTTGCACTGTCAATACCTAGGGATTTCTATAATAGGGGATGTTAAATATGAAGGTGTATACGAATGGAAAGGTACAACTCATCATGCACATCACCTTCATGCAGAAACCTTGTCCTTTGAACATCCTGTTACTGGTCTTAACGTCATGCTACGTGCACCTCTCCCTCTATGGGCTACCAAGGCGTTTCAGCATTAATACCTGGTTTTTGTACTTTTCTATCATATCTTCTAATTGTTTGAGAATACTGATGTAACCAAGTAGATTTAGATTCGTTGCAGCTTGTGGCTGAGAAATTTTGAGCCTCTTGCTTAGTGATTTTACGTTAACAATTGATGTATTTTGTTTTGGCTTTGACACTATATTAACAGCCCTGCCTCTGTTTCTCCAAGGAATAACAATTGATGGTATTGTGCAAAGTACCGGGTTTATTGGCCATTAATTTTGTAATGCCCTTATGAAATTATTTGAGTTGAGGATATTTGTTAATGGGGATTTCTAGGTTTTTCAGGAATAGGCTATGTTTTGATGGGTGGAACTGAGTTAACGAATGAAATGATATTCATTTTATTATTTGAAATGAGGGAGAAGTAATAGGATGGAAAAATTTTAAATTTTGTGTGTTGAAGTTAATTTTCTGCTACTCTTTCTACTCTTCTCCAACTAAAACAAAATATAGTTGTTTTTGCTTTTTCTTCTTACCTAAACATACCAATAGAGTTACAGGTTAACAAAGAATATTGAAGTGAATGTGTTGAATATATCAAGCTTTTTTGTCCAAAGTTGTATACACCTTTTAAGCATCCAATAACTGGTACTGTTATAAAATATGGCATTAACAGCACTATAAAGTGAAGGTGATGTCTGTATTTGATTCAAGCGACTGTGCAAAAACCATTAATTTATAAGTGTTAATGCTTCCTTTATTGCAGCTTGTATAGAACTTTTTAAGCATCGAACTTTTATGATATTTTGCAAAACGATTTTATATTTTGGGGCAACATTTTGAATTTGTCCTTGTTAAATTGAAAAGTGATTTCTGTTTTCCATGCAGATTTTATTTAGAGAAGTAGAATTCGTTTATACAGGGCCCATCAAAATTAGATAAGAATTGAAATGGCAAAAATCCTACCTTATAATCAAACTGCCAGTTCACTGATTAAAACAATGCAGGGAACAAAACCTTGTTAAGTCCAAATCCATATTCAAAACAACAGATTTGTAGATTTTGATTCAACTGATATAGATTGTGGTGAAAGTTGAACATGATATACCTCAAGTCAAATCAAATTATTGTCTTGTATGGAAATCTGAACATGTTGTGCATGTGGCTTTCTAATGGGGTTTTGCTATGGGATGAGTGTGCATTTTGTGTCTCTCTTGCGGGGTTTGGTGCTTCTTATGTAAGCGGAACAGGCATCAAAGCAGTGCATGTGATGAGCCCAAAGAAATTGATTGGTTTGATTATGGGAGCAATGCCTTGGGACTTTTTTAGCCATGTTAATGAAGAGTGTTTAATGGTTGAAGAAATTTGTAGGAAATAATATTCTTGGGTAATAATATTCAACTTTGTTGAGATTGTTTCATTCTAAACCTAAACCCTCACAAGAGACAATTTCAGCTTCGAACACTCGTTTCCAAGGGATACAGCCAAGAAATACAGAGGTAGATCTAGGCATTGGTTTCTTACACCCAAAAAATTGAAAGAAAAAATAAAGTAACATTGCCAAACAACCAGGTATTTTTTCCTTCCATTTCTCACCCATGAGTACAAGTATTTCACACACTCTATATTGAGTTATAAGACATTTATTTATACAGAAAATCAAGTCATTGAAGATTTTACATCATAAGAGGAAATGACCTTATAAAACTGGTTCATCATCACTCAATTTGAACAACGGACAAATCTCATCAAACAATTAGATTTTTTTGACACTTCCAAAACTAAAAATCTATTTTTATGTTCGGATTCAACTTTGGGTTTGTTACTGGTCTAGAACATTGCCAACGAAGAATTGTACAAGAAACTCATTGCATTTTGTCTTGTTGAGTTTATAAATGATGGTACATTGTTTTGGTGCTTATAGGCTTGATCTTGATATGTTCATGAAATTATGCACCCATAAAGAATATGGGGCAGCAACACACCAAAACCTTAAAACACATTTTATCCCATAATTATAACTTGATCTATAAATCTCATAATCGAGTATTATTTTTTAAACTGTAATTTTAACATATTAATATGAGCATGACTTGACTCCAACAAAGAAAAAAATAGCTCAAATGATTTAATTTGAAATTTTGGAATAAAATAATTATAGAACTTTCGAGAATAAATAATGACAACAAAGACACCATAAACTGAAATTTTGATAAGTCAGGTTGATCGCCATAAGAATTAAAAAAAAAAATTGATAAGATCGTACATTCAAGTAAGAACTTAGCAAAGAATTTATCTCACTTTAGAAATACTAAAATAACATATGTTGTTTCATTCATTTTCAAAATTATAAATACAACTCGTTCTTACGTCTTTATAAGCAAATAAAAGAAAATTAAAATTCTAATAGTTTAAGTACATGTAACATGTCTTAGTAGTTAAGTGAAACATAATTAATTTTGAGGTTCAAGGTTCAAATTCTAACATATGAGCATTTTACATATTTTTATGAAATAAATCCTCGTAATCAAAATTTAAACTAAACACATAAAATGACTAAGTCTAATAATTAGGTCTATTATTCTCAATCCAAATTAGCAACTGGACTCATTATCTTCTTCTCCAATTGTGCATTCATGGGTCCTCTTAGTTCTTGTTCTTGTTATGGGTCTTCCTAAGTCTTTCATTGTATCTTGGACTTATATTAGATTATGGGTTTGGGCCTTGATGTTCGCATCATTACTTGTCCCCTTCCTTTTTTGCATATTTTGCATAATCTTCAACTTTTTTTTTTCAATTTAAGTTTTGACTTTTTCATGCAACTCACTGACTACTTCTATATGCTAGCCTATTAGACAACACGACTCCTCGAACAAAATCAATCTAGTTTTCAATCCCTCTTCCTCAACTGAGCATTCATGGGTCCTCTTAGCTCTTGTTCTTGTTATGTGTCCTCTTAAGCCTTTCATTGTATCTTGGGCTTATGTTAGATCATGAGTTTGGGCCTTGATCTTCGCATCATTACCTGTCTCCTTCCTTATTTGCATATTTTGCATAACCTTCAACTTTCTTTTCAATTTGAGCCTTGACTTTTTCATGCAACTCATTGTGACTATTTTTGTATGCTGGTCTATTAGACAACATGACTCCTTGAACAAAATCAATCTGGTTTTCAATCCCTCTTAATGGTGGAAATCCAACTGGTACTTCCTCAGGAAAAACATCTGAAAATTCCTGCAAAATAGATTTACCTTTACTTGAATGTTGAGGGTTAGTACTCAGAACCTGTTTTCTCTCCTTTCTTTCTCCACTTTTTTTACTCTCTTTTTTATCCCTTTTTTATTCTCTTTCTCTCACACTTGTCTTAGCATTTTCTCTTTTTTTATTTTCTTATTTTATTTTGATATTCACAAACCTCTCCAGGTGATAAAGGAACTAGAGTGACTTTTCAATCTTGGTGAACAAATGTGTATTTGTTGATGTGACCATCATTTTGAGTTTTGTTGTTAAACTGTCACGGTCTCTCAAGCAACATATGGCTAGCCTTCATAGAAACTACATCACAAAAAACCTTATCTTCGTACTTCCCAATAGAGAATACAATCTCAACCTGCTTGTCCCACCTCCAACTCTCCTTCCTCATTTAATCATTGAAGTTTATAAGGTCTAGGATGAGGTTTAGTCTCCAAGTTCATTTTTTGTCACTAATATGGTGCTAACTACATTTGTGCAACTCCCTCCATCAATAATTAGTGAACATATCTTTCCTTGAATAAAACACCTAAAATAGAATATGTTTTCTCTTTGACTCCCCTCATCTTTCTTTAAAATTCCTCCAAGCATCCTTTTAACACACAAACAAGCCTCCCTCTAGAATAATTTCATCCCCATCCTCACTCTCTTCTTTGCTTGATGATTCTGAATTAGAATATTCACTTATGTAGTCTCCATTCTCCTTAAGGAACATTGTCTTCTTAGTGGGACATTCTGAAGCTACATGTCTTATTTCCAAACACTTCAAACATTTTTTCTCACTACTTCTGGTTTTCTTTGAGTTTTCATTAGACTTTGAATATGTCTTTTGAAACCCATCAGTGGAAGAAGAACCTTCCTCCTTGTTGTTCCTTTTCTTTATTCATTTTCTTTTGAGTTGTTGTTCTACCTTGGTAACTAGACATATTATTTCCTTCATCTCCACACAACTATGCAATTCCACCACATCTCTAATATCAGGATTGAACCCCTGCACAAAATGAGTCATTGTTATATCCCTTTCTTCATTCACACTAGGTCTAATCATGCATATCTTTATCTCCTTGAAATACTCATCAACACTTTTCTCCTGGGTGAGACATACCAACTTGTCTCACACATCACATTGATAATATGAAGAAACAAAGCGCCTTCTCATAGCCCTTCTCATCTCCACCCAAGTATCCACCTTAGGTTCTTCATACCTTATTATATCTCTTTTGGAATTGATTCCACCAAATTAGAGTATAATCAAAAAATTCTATTACAACCACCTTCACTTTTTTTTCTTCACTATAATCATGACAAACAAATAATTGTTCAATATTTTTCTCTCAATTCAAATATGCTTTTGAATCACTTTTCCTATAAAAAATGGGAATGGTCAGTTTCACTCCTTCAATTCTATCACCCTTACTCTCCTTCCATTATCCCTTATTCTTCTCTTTTAATTACGTCTTTTATGTTCATTTGAATCATTTTCATTATTATTCACTTGATTTTCCAATTGTTCAGTTCTGTCAAAAAGTTGTTCATTATTTTCTCTCATCATCATTTGCATTTGTACAATCATAGCCTTAATTAATAATATTTGAACTTCATCAAGTTAAGGATCACCACCAATATCTATTCCTGTCATGCTTCAAGTGAAATTGTAATAATAACAAGAATGAACCTCATCACCCTTCTCACCTGTTTACACTCAATGTTAGTTTCACTCGTGTTTACACTCAAATTGACTTTTAAACAAATGTAGCTTGCTTGCTTTTTTTCTCTCTTCCTCACACTTAAAATTCTTGCTTGAATAAACAAATCTCTTTTAAGAAAAGATATAAAAACTACATCAATAAACCAAGTGTTCACCAAACAAAATAAAATTGCAAAGAACAAGTTCACTACTAATAAAAAACAATACAAGAAACTAGCAAGAAATGATCAAATTTTGGAAATCAGAAAGGAAGGACACTGAACACACAAGTTAGATAATAAAAGACAAGAACAAAACAAAAATAATGAATTTGGTTTATTTTTAGTTTTCAAGTAACAACCCTGCATATTTTTTTTCCACAATTTTGTTTTCACTCTTTAATGTTTTTTTATTCTAAACTTTGCAATAACTAAAACACTAGAATTCAGTCAAACCCAACTTATGGACAAACAAATTTAAAACGGAAAATTATGAATAACCTAAAAATTAGGGATTTTAGGATTACTCAATAAACAAAACAATTTCAAACCTTAAAGCAAAGTTATTATTACCAAATGATGTGGTTTTCCCTATTAAATGAATAAAATATCTATCTGGGTCAAAAATATACCAAAATCCTAAAACACGTTTATCTCGTGGCTATACATTACAAATTTCATAATAGATTGTTATCAAAATGAGAGAAATAATAAAATTTTGAACTACAATTCTAGCATATTAAATATAAAAAATGATAAGTAGTTCAAGGGATATGAGTGTGGCTTAATTTGACCCCAAACAAGAAATAAACCGTACAAATAACCTAATTTAAAAATATAAAAGAAAACGATTATAGAATTTATGAAAATAAGACGATGACAACAAATATAATAAAAAACTAAAAATTTGATAAGTTAGAATAATCTCCACAATAATTAGAAAAATCCTTAATAAAATAGTTACTTCAAACCAGAATCCTAACACAGAATTTAATGCACACTCTTTAAAATACTCAAATAACATAAGTTCTTTTATTTTTTTTTTAATTATAAATACAATTATGAAAGTAAATAAAATTAAATTAAAATTCTAATAGTTCAAATATGTATAAAATATTTCGGTACATAAATAAAATATAATTAAATTTGATGTACAAATTCAAATTTAATCTAAGTATTTTATATATTTTTATGAAACAACTACTTCTAATAACTAGACCTATTATTCTCAGTCCGCAACCGAGACCATTATTTTTTATTGAGCTGGGCCTCATGAATTGAGTCGCGATTCGCGAAGGCCTATGGCATCGCCAGCCCTCTTAGCTCCTGTTACGGCCTTCATATCCACATCAGATTCATAGTGATCTAGAACATGAAACTAAGTCAAGATTAACCTAACTCTCTTGTGCACTTCAAAATATAACTATCCAGCATAAAAAATAACTCTGCCCCACAAACAGCAGAAACTATTATTATTTGCTATTAGTCTTTTATGCCATGAGTAGCTTCTAATCTAAGCATCCTAATTTCCCATCCAACAATAACAAAATGGATGCCGGCGTCACTATAATCCAGCCACGAACAGGTGAAGTTTCTTAAATTATGTCTCATTGGTTTTATTGTGGTTCTCATTATTGTTTTTAACTTACCCCAATTGTACACATACTCTTTCCCATCCTACTTCACCCACCTAAAGAAAAACAAGAAACAAAAAATATAGAGGAATGAATTAAAGCATATTATAACTTTATATTTTATATCTTAGCTTTGTTTGTTTTTATTGTTTTACTATTTAATAATAAATTAGTAAACAGAAATAGAAATAGAGAGAAAGTTTTTGCTTAAAATAATACGTAAAATCATGGGAAAGTCAACCTAAAATGAGATAATTACATTATTGTCCTTCATTTAACAATATTGTATGGGGCTAAAGATGCCTACTATTATTCTTCAAGTAAATTTGATTATATAATGCATCCATCTACATAGTACTTTTTTTTAAGCTTTTTTATAATTATTTCAAACCAATTAATATTGTTTTACACTTTGTTTAAAATGAAAAATGTTTTTTAAAATTTGTAATTTAGATAATATCAGAAGAGTAACTTGCTTATTTATTATATTAATAAAAATATTATTCTCACAAATACTTTCAATAAAATATTTATACATTTTTTTATATAAAATATAGGTTGGCATACAAATATTATATTTATATTTTACTAAAATTGACAAATTTATACATAATTAAAAAAATAATAATCTCTTGTTTTTTACTTGGTCAAATTCACCTCTTAATTAAAACACAATCTTAATGTCACGAACTAGACTTGTTTCTATTTTTAAAATAACAATTGTATTAATTTTATATTATATATATATATATATATATATATATATATATATATATATATATATATAAAAGGTCATCAATAAAAAATTACAATGTTTTTACATTTTTAATTTTAAAATTTTACAAGTTAACCCACCTACATGCAAGATCATACTTTTTATAATTGCTGTTATTGAGTGTAGGTTAAGTGAGTTTCATGATATTAAGTGTAGTTTATAACGAGTAATTAAAGAGGTTATGATTGATAAAGATGGGTGTTATTCACATTAATTATTTAAATACAAGATTATAAATTTATTGAACCATAAAATTTTGTTGAGTAAATTAGACGAGAAAGAACTTCTTGGATGAATTAAAATTCATTAAGAAAAATAAGTAATTATCACTATAAAAAACTGATTAATTATTGATAAAATTTTATTAACGAATATATTTTATATTTTAGTCAATAAATTTATATTACCAATCAAAATTCATTAACGAATATTATTTTATTGATAATTTACATTGCCCGTTAAAAATAATACTCGTTCTAAACAAATATAAGTAAAATATAATTTGTTAGTAATATTATTCTATTCATCTGTAAATTAACTATTAAAAAAATAAAAAATCATAATTAATAAATATTAATTAGTTAATTAATACAAATTAATGTATCAATTATTTGATGAGTAAATATTAATTTATTAAACATTTAAAAATAAATAACAATTTATCAATTACTTAATAAATAAAATGAATTTAATTTTTGATAAAATTTTAATAAACTCATTTATGATAAAATTATTATTAGTTATATTTAAATATTTTATTGTAAAAAATAATTATTTTATTACTATTACTTTCTTTTATCATAAATAATATCAGAATCCATCAACATTTAAATAACTTTTTTATATAAATTAAAATAAAATATTATAATCATAATTAAATAAAAAATGAGTTTGTTCATATTATGGTTATAATAATGATTATTCTTTAATATAATTTTGAATTTAAAATATAAATGTATAGTGAAATTGAGTTTAGAATCAAATAAATAATGAAAAACATAAAATAAATAAAAGTGTAATTATAATACCTATTTTTAAATGGTCAAATTTTGTATATATTTTGAAATTTTCTATTAGTTCAATATTAAAATAATTAACTACAGAAAAGAAATATTCTAATTGGAAAAGTATCCCACTAATTTATCTATCACGACATATTCATTAGTGGAGTTGCACCCGTGGCTATTGTATCGTTTTTAATGTTTAACGAGTCATTTGATTGAATTTTAATACAAATATATTTAGCTACCTAATTCATCCAATATCTATCAGTAAAAAATCCTAATAATATCGATAGATATTTGGTGTTCAATACTTATTACAGATTTTCCACATTATCGATGGAATTTTGTTACATGTAATATTATTTTTCTTGTTATGTATATATGTAATTTAAATAGTTCAACTGGAAAAGGTGATTATGCTAAAAGTTATGAATCTAGCATTAACTAATAATATTAATATCACTTAAAAACAATATTTATACTTTAAATATATGCATCTTAAAACTAAATATTTAAACGTCACAAAAATTGGCAAAATTTTACAAAATAATATGTTTTTTTTTAATTGAATTGATTTAGCTCTATATATTTCATTTATAGTGTATACGCGAGTGATAAAAGAATGGTACCTAAAATTAAAACAAATGAGATAAATACTTTGATATGGATCAAATGAATTTTGTATGATAGGATAAATCATGGATCTTTAAATACTTTGATAGTAATTAGATGAATTTTGTGTCATAAGAAAGATGATATTATCATAAAGTTGACGTATTCAAGGGATCAACCTCTTTACACACCATATTATATACATAAAAATAAAAATAGAACCTTTTATTTTTTTTCCTAAATTTTCATCTATAATAAATATTATATTTATTTTCTCACAAAATTTTGCACTAACACTTGTTTTCTTTAATCTTTTATTTTCATATTTGTATATTTTTTTTCTTCCATCTTTCTAGTTTTTTCAACTTTTAATTACTCAATCACTTTTAACATTCTTCTCTTTCCTGATTTCACTTTATATAATAAAATTTGTAAGCTTATTTTTTTCTTTAATATCCAAATTATTTTTATAGATTCATTTTCATATCATAAAAATTGTAATTTTTATTAAAATTACATACCCCACAATAATTTTATTAAAATAAAGAAACAATAAACCAATTTATTTTCTCTATTGTTTTTTGTTTATTATTACAACAAATTAATATGTGCATTGTAATATAAAAATATGAAATATTAATATTTTTTATAAATTAATTAATTATTTTAATGTTTTGTAATATTTTATTTTTATGTTAAAATATGAAAAAAATTAAAAAGTTTTAAAGATGTCTAAACAAAATTATAAACTCAGAGAAAAAATATGATAGATAGATGAAATAAATTTTACTTTTTAAATTTTAAATTTAACTAATAATTTTAAATATTTATATAAAATATTTATATAATACTTTTTTTATATAATAATTGATTAAATTTATTTTAAAAAACGTATTTATCAATTAGGTTGATTCATGTTTATTCTAGTTGGCGTTGCATGATATTTAATTGATAAGGCTTAACTGGTCTCATTCGATGAGAGGGTGCTAGGTAAGTTCTCACCCTAGTTTTTCCAATGCATAAGTCAATTTAATTATTATAAATATAATGGGTTTGATTATTATTTTTATATCGTTTTAAAGTTAAGTATAAAGATAGTGTTTAAGAATTAAGATAAATGATAGTTTAATTATATTTTTTTTTTTAATGTACCGAGATATTTTTTAAAGATAAAATTGTGATAAACAATAGTTTTTAAACGAATAATACCTAGATGAAACATTGTACTCACAATAAGACTAAAAGTAGAGTCTTATTCCATTTATATATCTTAATTTTCGATCTGGAAAACTTCAATAATATATTTACGTGTCTCACATCACTTATGAGTCGAGGTCAATGACAGTTATACACACTTTTTTATTTCAATCTACCAATACATATTTTAATGACAAAATCATGACGAATGAAAGTTCTAATATTGAAAATAACTTAACACATTTAAATTTACCCTTAAAAAAACTATAATTTGAAAAAAAATGCAGTCCCTTCCTTTTATCAACATATATTTTTTTTAAATGATTGGAAAGTGTGACTATAACAGGAGATGGGTTATATATAGATAATCCAAATGTGGAAATATTTTTTAAATTACTAGATTTTTTTAAAGTAATTTAATGAAAAACAAGTAATTAAAGTTATTTAATGAAAACACAAGTAATTAATATTAAAGTCCTCAAATAAATAGCACTGAGATGTAATACTATAATTTCTATATGTTACATTATAATTTATTAAACGAGTAAAGAAATAAAACAAGTTAAGGAAAAATTATCTAAAATTTCTTTTATACGAAAGAAAAAAACATATATTTTTATATATAAATATAATATAATAGATTAATAAAATTAATAAAATATGTTAGTCTCAAAATTAATTGCATCATCTTGAGTATATTGTAATTAATTTTAAAAAATGAATATACTGTAATAAACAAAATTTAATATTTTATCAATTTTTTTATTTTTTATATAACGCTAGTTAGTTACCGTCCTTATCATTTTTTTTCTTAAAATTTAATAATCTGGATAATATGTTAGATTTATTGGGTTGATTCAATTAAAAAATATATGAGCTTATGGATATAATTATATAGCTTAAAAATTTATAAAATAAATATTTTTACAACATTTCAATAGAAAAAAATGAATTTAGTACTTCTACGTAATATTTATACAACATATTTTATATTAATATATTAATTAAAGTTTTTTTGTAATTTATATGCATATTTACTGTTTAATGGTTAATCTCTTTTTGTTGGTGATTGACATTTAAGTTTTGTTGTAGATTTTTTTTTTGTAAAAAAGGTAAATTTCTCATGTAGAATAATATTAATTAGGGACTTCAAAAAAAGTATATTTCCTTGTCATAACATAAATGCATTAAATTGGAATAAATTTTGTTAATATTTAATCGAGATATGAAAAAATTGAATTTAATAGATGAATTATTAGATGTTATCTTTACTTTGAAATTGAATTTAACATTCTCACGATGAAGACAAATTATCAATAAGAAAAAATGTTAGAAATATATTTTGTTTTACACTTTTTTTAAATGTATATTTTTTATTAATTGAATTTAATAAAATTACAAAATTATAATAAAAAATTATTAAACAAGAAATCGATTTATAAAATTTTACAATTTTAAATAAAAGGCAATCAATAATAAACAATATACGTAAAATTTGGCAAAAGAGAATATTTCTTAACATTTTTTATCAGTAATAATTGTTTGTGTCTTAAAAATGTAAAATATAAAATGAAACCGAATCGTATCACACGTGTGATTGATTGTTTGACATCAGGTAACAAACCCACGTAGAGGACTCCACTTAATGTGAACGACCCAGTAGAGTCTACCAATGGTAGAGTGCCACACTACATCAATGACAAGAGTAGATGACGTGTCTTAATTTAATTGGATTTAATCTGCCACCTATTAGCCACGTAGGATTGAGCCACGTCAATTTCCAAATTTGCCCACTGCACTGAAATCCCAAAGCATAGTGGCCGCTATATAGAACGGTAGCTCACTCACTCTCGCTATTCGAAGAAGCTATCACATTCTTTCTACATCCCTAGCTCTGTTCCGTCATGGCGATAGCGTTTAGGGTGCGAAACCCTGACCTCCGTTCTCTCATTCTTCTATCACTCTTGACCATCTCTTCCGCCAAGGTCTTATTCGAGGAGCGCTTCGAAGGTATACAACATAATTCCTTCGTTTTCCTTTTCTCTCTCACTAGATCGCGTCACCAGAGTTTTCGTGTTTTCCCTTCTGCATTGTTGTTTGTCGAATTTGGAGATGCTTGTTTAGGATCAACGTTCTTTTCGACTTTGAGCCTCGATCTGAAACGCTTTCTTGATTCGATTTGTGTTATGAGTTGGACGTCGAGGTCTGCCTTGGAATGTCATCGTTTGAAGTAGATCTGTTAACTCTAGTTGTTTTTAAGAAGCTAATTATGCTGACGTCTTTTTGAAATTATGTATAAGCATTAGCCTCAATGCCGGTTTTCAAAATAGAAATAGAATGGATAGATGAGGAGAGTACGTGAACGAAAAATTTAGGTTAAATTTGAGATTTGATCGTGGGTTACTGTATAGACAGCGTTTACAGTCCCACAGCATATTTTGAATAAGTGATAGTAGTTATGTCCTTTATAAATTGTCCTTTATTTGATGGTACATTGTCTAATCTTAAATCGGTATTATTCTATTTTCTAACTCGTGTGTTTGTGTTTTGTATTATCCTATTTTCTAACTCGTGTGTTTGTGTTTTGTCTGATGTCAGATGGATGGGAAAATCGGTGGGTTAAATCCGATTGGAAAAAGGACGAGAACTTGGCTGGGGAGTGGAACCACACCTCTGGTCAATGGAATGGGGACGCTAATGACAAAGGTAAACTAAAATTACTCTGTTTAACAGTCCTGTATTTTTGTTGCTTATTTTTACTTTTGGCTAAAATTAATAATGCGGTGTGTTTGGCTGAATGGTGATATCTATTCAGGTATTCAAACCAGTGAAGATTACAGATTCTATGCCATTTCCGCTGAATACCCTGAATTCAGCAATAAGGATAAGACATTAGTTTTCCAATTTTCTGTCAAGCATGAACAGAAGCTTGACTGTGGTGGTGGCTACATGAAGTTGCTTAGTGGGGATGTTGATCAGAAGAAATTTGGTGGGGAAACCCCTTACAGGTGATTTTTATATCTCTTTTTGTTTTGTTATTGGTTCTTGATGGATGCTTTGATATGGTACCTGATCTTTTGATATTTGCTATTCTATTGCAGTATCATGTTTGGACCAGATATCTGCGGTTACAGTACCAAGAAAGTGCATGCTATTTTGACCTACAACAACACAAACCACTTGATCAAGAAGGATGTCCCTTGTGAGACTGACCAACTAACTCACGTTTACACATTTATACTCCGTCCGGATGCAACCTACAGCATCCTGATTGATAATGTGGAGAAGCAATCTGGTAGTCTCTACTCTGATTGGGATCTTCTCCCTCCAAAGAAAATCAAGGATCCTGAAGCTAAAAAAGTAATTTTCTTCCCAGTTTTAGTTTAATTGTCATATCTATTTTGGTTTCACCATTGATTGATTCTAACCATGATATACTCGCAGCCAGAAGATTGGGATGACAAAGAATATATTCCAGATCCCGAGGATAAGAAGCCAGAGGTAGTGCCTTTTCATGTTATAGGAATTTTGTAGTGGGTACTATCTGTGTTATATACTGACTTCTTTATCTTGCATATGTAGGGATATGATGACATCCCTAAAGAGATCCCAGATACTGAAGCCAAGAAGGTATATTTTACATTGTTGTTCCTTGGTTTTTTTTTTTTTTTGGCTCTATATATCTCATATTGTGCTATAGTTACTGATAGTATATATCAATTGATCTGTAGCCCGAAGACTGGGATGATGAGGAAGATGGTGAGTGGACACCCCCAACCATTGCCAACCCTGAGTACAAGGGCCCATGGAAGGCAAAGGTTTGTGAAAACTGTATTGTAATATGTGAAATATGACGTATTGCATTATGTTTGATAATTTTCTAAAGTAACATGTTACTTTTCTGCAGAAAATTAAGAACCCCAACTACAAAGGAAAGTGGAAGGCACCAATGATTGATAACCCAGGTTAGAAAGCAATGGTTCATCATTGTACACGGTTGTAATGCTTTTATATTATTTTGCATTATAAGGTATACTCATCATTTGAAAAATATTTACCAGATTTCAAGGACGACCCCGACCTATATGTTTTCCCCAAATTGAAGTACGTAGGCATTGAATTGTGGCAGGTAATTTTTTCATTTCAATTTAACGTCACTATATTTAGTTGATATTTTTATCTGAACTCTCACAAGCAGGGGATTTTTTCTTACAGGTGAAATCTGGTACTTTGTTTGACAATGTCTTGATTACCGATGATATTGAATACGCTAAGCAATTGGCTGAAGAAACATGGGGCAAGCACAAGGATGTAAGTTCTTTCTATTCACTCTCTTTTGGCCTAAAGTACGGCGTTGAATGATATGATCTCCTTAATGAAGTTGTGTTCTTGCAGGCTGAGAAGACAGCATTTGAAGAGGCCGAGAAGAAAAAGGAAGAAGAGGTGAAATTTTATCCTGATGAGCATCTCTGAAAGTTTTATTTTTGTAAAAGTTTATTTGAAATAAAAAACTATTCTCACTCCTATATTTTGATCTCATCTACAGGAATCAAAGGAGGATCCCGTTGACTCTGATGTAAGTAGAACTACTGAATTTTGAAATTTGTCTATCATCAGTTGCAGTGATTCTGACAAAGTTAATGGTTTCTGTATAGGCTGAGGATGAAGAGGAAGAAGCTGATGATGCTGGCAATGACACCGACGCTGAATCAAAGACGGAAGCTGGGGAAGACAAGGAAGATGGTCATGTAGGTTTTTCGTCCCCTTAGTACCTCTCTCACTTTAATCCAGCTTGACAACAATGTGTTTAATATTTCTCTTCACGCCTTATATGCAGGATGAGCTCTAGGCAGTTTGCAAAACGGATGAGGATTTATCGAAGTTATATCTTTTTCAGTAGTTTTTTTTTTTTTTTTTTAGATAAGCAAACTGGAAAACTACTAGCAAGAGCTGGAGCTTTTGTTTCAATCCCATTTGACTATTTCACTGATTAGAACAGGCAAAAATGTCTCTTTTGAGTTCTTTATATGTTTCAATTTTTCAGTCTGTTTCATGTAAATTGCGTGCAAGTTCCTTCAAAACTACTTCAAATTTTACTGTCAGATTATTTTGTTAGATAATACGATAATAATCATTAAAAACATTTTAACGCCACAACTATGCCATCAAAATGTCTCCTAAATTTAAAGACTACAACTATGCCATCAATTTATTAATTGATTAAACAGTAACATTAATTTAAAATTAAATTTGTATATTTTTCATTCTATAATTTTTAGTATTTTAAATTCTTACAAGTAGATTTTTAAATGATATATTTTAAGTAACCCACGTCCCCTGTTCTCTCTTATGAGCATTCCATTCCTGAATAAATTTGTATTCATTTTGCCACATCACAAATAAATTAGTGATTGGGGTTTTTAGTTTTACTCTTATTGGTGAGAAGAAGAAAGAGTATTTAATTATATAATTAAATTAAGGATTCTTTTAAATTGGTTTAATTATATTAACTTAAACCATAATTTATGATTATTTCATATAAACATAAGATAAAGAAAAAGAGATTAACATGGATTCTTTTATGAATGCCGAGCAAACTAGGAATAGTCTACCGCGAGAAGAGGTCCTCGATGTTTGTGTTGTACTGTGGATAAGTGTGTCGTTATTAGTGGACTAGACCTTAGACCTAACTCTCTTGGAAGGGGTGCCTCAGAGGGTAAGAGTCGGGTTATGCCTGGACTTTGTTGTATTAAGTTATCGGTCTTTGTTGTATTAAGTTATCGGCGAGACCGGTTATTTGATAATGCAATTCCAATCGGTAAATAAGTTAAGGGTGTGTAATACATGAAAAGTTGAAAAAACGATCAGAATTGATATTAAAAAAAATATATTATTCCCTTACCTGATGCCAAATATTATGTAATAAGTTATTTAAAATCAAATAATAAATTATATAATATTTTTTATATTTTTGAAAATTTATAATAATAATAATAATAATTTTAAAAAATAATAAATAAAATTATAAAAAAATCAATATATTTATTTTTAATTTTATTTTTTTATTAAATCAATCACATCATTTAGGTATTTTTATAAATTTACTTCTCATCTTTTTTTATTTTTTATCATTTATTTCTTAATCTAAACAATATTAGCTTTACTTTTTTTTAACACTGAATTTTATTTTCTCAAATTCATCACAACACACAGTAAAAGTTGGACAGTGAAATCATATACCTTCAACTTTAAATCTATCCGACATATTATATCACGAAACTCCATACCAAAATATGCATTACACCATCCTCTGTACCTTAAACTTTAAATCCTCTATTTTGAACTCAATGATTAGCTTCTCTCAATATTTTATAACTTACATGCACGTTACCTCAAAATACTTATATATTTATAATGAAATCTTATATTTTTTTATAAGTAAATAACAACAATTAAACTGAATATAAAAGTTACTCAGAACCAAAAATATAATATAAAACAGAAAAGTTATTAAAATTTACAAAATACATTAAAAAAACACAACTAAACAAAATAGATATAAGAATTATCGTGTAAGTTTACGAGACTAAAAGACATTTTCGTACCAATAAAAAGGTTTATTTTTAAGAATATAGATGAATAAAATTAAACAACTCCAACTAATTTCCCATGTCTTATTCAAAAATTATACAATTCTGATACAACCAGATAGACTAGATTATCATAACTTTTATAAGAAATTACTTTATTCACTTATTATTTATCCCCTCACCCAGATATTAAAATCATCAACGTAATATCCTATATCCTAAACCTGAATTTTGAACCCTAAACTCCTGGAACTTTCATCCTAACTCTACATCACAAACCCTACACATAACACATTGCATTTTACAACATATTAAATTTTAAATTATAAATATTAAACCCTACACACTAATCCTTACACCCTAAATCATATATCATACACCCTAAACTCTAATAATTTACCCTACATCCTATATGGCATTCCTTATAGCATGTATCCTAAAACTTTCCTCCTAAATCTTAAATCTTAAGCCTTACAACATACCCCTAGTTTGTAACCCTTACTACCTACTCTTTAGATTCTACCCGTAAACCCTAACCTCCAATAATATACCTGTATATATTATATAAAATGATAAATTAGTTAAATGAAAAGTAAATAATAAAATATTTTTTAAATAACTATTTCTTTTAAAAAATGAATAGTATATTATTTTTAAATAATTTCATGTAGATAAATATTATTTGTTTTTAAATTAAAATAATCATATATAATTTCTTATAAATATAATTTTGAACAATATATATTCATTATTGTGTAAATATTCAAAAATAAATATGAATTCCAATTTTCTCACTTAGTTTGAATACATTAATTAAAAAAATATAAGTAATTAATTAGTTCACTTAAATTAAAAATATAATTAATTTAATTATTATCATTAAAGTTATAAAAGTTCATTTTTTTAAATAAGTAATCTGTACTATGAATTAGACATACCTTTTATATTTTTGAAGTAGTTTTAAACAAAGTTAAATAATGTTATAGGAATATTAGTTAAAATCAAGACGATTTTTTTTTTGTATTTATAGATATAAATAAAATATACAGATAACTAATTATTGGAATATGCTAAAACCAATAAATTTTATAAAAAATAAACAAATGAAAATAGGAAAACATATGTAATGAAATAAGAAGAAAGGTTAAATTTAAGATAGATGAGTAAATGAAAGATGTAGGAAATAAACATTGCTTATTAATAGTTGAAAATTGAAAAAATACTTTTAAAATTTGCAATGGTTAAGAATGGTAAAAACGATTAAGTTATCTCGTTTTGGTGTATCTCCTTTGTAAAAAAATAGATAATTAGCCAATTGATCAATTCCGTAAATAATATTTTTTGTTATATATATATATATATATTAAAAAATATATTTAATTATATTAATTATTTATAATTTTATTTATTAAAAATATTTTTATTAGATAAATTATAAAATTATTATATTTATGTGTAAAAATAATTAATTATAAATAATTTAAATAGAATTAATTAATTTTTATAATTTAAATTATAATAATATAATATATTTACTTATTTTAATAATATAATAAAAAAATATTTTTTAATTTTAATTTTAATATATAAATATTATTTTAAAACGAGTAAAGGATTCGTCAATTCCATACCAGTTAACAAAATAAAATAATTATTCCGTCCTACCATTTTACGGTTAACAAATTGTTTTCTGTTGATATTAACGATATAAAATTTATATTATCTGAATATTTTATATTTATTTAATAGGATAATACTTATATTTTTATAAGTTGGTATGATGTATCATTGATACACTTTTTAAATTCAAAGTATTAAATTTAAAGATTAAAAGCAATTTAAAATAAATAATTTTAATCAGTCTACTATTTAACAACTAAAATTATACTGTTTTAAATGTTAAGAATAAAATAAAATTTCAAATGTGGACTGTGGAGATTTAGTTCTGTGCCCTAAATTTGAAGCTCACTGGGAAGCATCACCGTGCCGTCTGGATATCTTTCTGGTGGGTTTACACGGAGGTAACTCAGGTGGAAAACTGTGACGGAGGTATTGTTTTACTCCTACTTCTTCTCATTGCAGCTTCTTTAGGTAGAAGAGATGGTGAGGCTCACTGCTGACTTGATCTGGAAAAGCCCTCATTTCTTCAATGCAGTTAAAGATCGTGAGTTAGATCTTCGAGGTATTTCTATCTCCCTCACGCCTTCCATCTCTCTACTTTTTACTCTCCCTCTTTGAATATAAGTTTGTCATATTGTTGACAGGCAACAAAATAGCTGTAATTGAAAACCTTGGTGCTACTGAGGTGTGCAGTTTATTCTTCTTGCTTTCCTTTTAGTTTCCCACTGTTACCGTATATTGTTGAGGCCTTTTTCATTTTAAAGGATATATTAAATGATTCATTGCTTGTATGCTTCAATTTGTTCACAAATTTAAATTCCTTTGTATTGAATTTCCTTCAGGACCAATTTGACACCATAGACCTATCTGACAATGAGATTGTCAAACTGGAAAATGTACCATATCTTAACCGTTTGGGTACAATGATCATCAATAACAACAGGATTACTAGAATTCATCCCAACATCGGAGGTACAGTTTGAACTTTGAGCTGCTCGTCATTCTTTTTATCGCCTCATTTTAGTGACCTCGTCCCTTCTGTCATTTGTATTGCAGAGTTCTTGCCAAAATTACATACGCTAGTTCTCACAAATAACAGAATTGTAAACTTGGTGGAAATTGATCCTTTAGCATCCCTTCCAAAGCTGCAGTTCCTTAGTCTGCTGGACAACAATATTACGAAGAAAACAAATTACAGGCTTTATGTTATTAACAAACTGAAATCCCTCCGGGTTTTAGATTTCAAGAAAGTGAAAAATAAGGTAATGTTTTTTTTGCCCACTACCCATACGTATCTTCTATTGGGCTTGTTGTTTGAAATAAGAAAGATGGGATATTTTGGTAATGCCTGCATTCAATTAATAAATCAGCATTTAAGTATATTTAGCTGTAGATTATGCGTAGTTTTTTTTTTTTTTTCCAGACTTCTTTTGCCTTTGCTTTGCTAAGTTTTCATAGACTGAATGGATTCAAATTTTACTGGTGAGAGGCTTTTGTGTCTAGCAATGTTAGAAAAAAAAGGAGAATGTTGATATTTGGTCTCTTTCTTATTTCCACTTACACGTGCCCTTCAATTATATTTCATTCTTTTGATGGTTTCTTATAATTAATAGGAACGGTTGGAAGCCAAAAACTTGTTTGCCTCAAAAGAAGTTATAGAAGAAATTCAAAGGACACCAGCCAAACCATTATCACCTCCAAATGTTTCAGAAGCGACTGAGGAACAACAGACACCCAAAGTGATTGCTCCCACACCTGAGCAAATTACTGCTATCAAGGTACAATGATAATACTTGAACTCATCATTATCACAGTAGGGTTGAAAATGTGACATATCCAACATGTATTCATGCTTAGTTCGGATCTATAATTAATTTATTCTCCATCTTAATGGATGATGTACTTTGCTAAATCTTCTTGCTTCTACCCATATATTTACAGCAAACCATTGGAAGCTATTCCAAAGTCCAAAGCAGAGGGACATAACCAAAATTTTCATATAGATTCCAAAAATATGTACTTGTCATGTTATTTTCAAATGTGTACATGTCACAAAAAATATGATCTTGTGATATATCTTTCGCATAGAAATCATCTCCATTCTATATTGTAGCAAATGATAGCATTCATAAACTAGACTTGCTATCTCTTTGAAGCTGGTACATCTAGCAGCTAATTTTGGTTACCTGTTGTTTGACATGTTTCTGTTTTATGCAGGCTGCCATTGTGAATTCTCAGACTCTCGAAGAGGTTGCTAGACTTGAAAAGGTGCTTACATTTCTAATTAGAAAATTGCTTATTTGATTTTAATTTTTGTGTCATACACTTGCATAACATTACATTGAAATTATTGTAAATAATATGATAGGATAATTTGTAACTAATGACCTACCTGCTAATAGAAAGATGATCTGCTGGGAGACTATGAAATGTCTCATGTCATTGGAGCTTAGAAACACTGGGGCGCACTCAGTTTTTCTGTCAACATTGCTACTTGCTGGCCTAGAATATGTAGATTGGGTTTTTGGTTGTGTGGGTTATTCTGTCAAAAATACATATGTTAATTTTAATGTATATCAACGAAGTACTTATTAATTTCAACAATGTTGTAAACTGAAGAATGGTTTTAACTTACAAAGTTGTAAATTGATCACTCCTAGTTTGATTGTTTAATATATTACAAAGAGGACTGTAATAATGCTGTACATCTAATCAGAGTACATGATTGCAGGCATTGAAGTCTGGCCAGCTTCCTGCAGATTTAAAAGGCTTGAATGATAATATAGTGTTGGATAATGTTCATGAAAAACCGGAAGACATGATTCATGATGATAGAGGTCAAGCTGATGCTAAATCCAATGATACACAAGAGCAGAGAAATGCTGATTCTACTTCAATGGAACAGGTATATGTCCACTTCTACATGTTTTTTTGACTTTTATTCTATATCTTTGTTACAGTTGACACACCATTATTCCTCTATGATGCATATTCATTTAGTTTGTTTCCTATAGTTATCTATCTATTGTGCTATACCTGTCTCATGAGAACTATTTTGAACATATAAGTAGTTGCTGCTCAATGTACTCAATCATTGTTTTATTTTCATAACATTTTAATTTGTTAAGATGTATCAAAATGAACTTTTGCATTGAGATTGACAGATTCTGCAGACTCTTCCTCGTTTCTAATTCTCTTTACCCTGTACCCACTGTTTCAGACCCTATTGAGTCCCTTTTTCTTGCTGTTTGGTTTTCCTGGGTTTGCTGTTTGGTTGATGTTTTAACTTTACATGAGATGTTTGCATTGTACCGTAGCCTTATTTGAGGCTATACACTAATATGAACATTAGCGTTTATTGTTTCTTTTTTTCCTTTAGTCAAGAGGTTTGGAAGTATGGGAAAAGCTTGATTGTCCCTCATCTGAATGATACGCACGCTGAAGCCTGTATACATACACTAGAAAATGTACTTGATTAGTATACAGCAAAAATAGGCCAATTTCCCAATCTGGTGTAATTTGTTTTTATTATTCCCAAAATGGTAAATTTTAAAAAAATTCTGGATATGGGTAAGTTGTGCTTTGTGATACAACTTTGTAATGAAGAAGTTGTGCTCTGAAGGTTGACTTTACTTTTTTCAAACAGAAGTCGTACATACATATACAACTTCTTTATATCATTTTTTTTGAATCCGTGCTTCAATACATGACTTCAATAGAATTTTTTTATTGAAGTTGTCTTTTGATTGATGACTTTAGTTGATTTTTTTAATATTGAGTTCGTCAATTGATTGACGAATTTAGTTCATATATTTTTAAAATAATTTTTTTATTAAAAGTTTGATTTTAATATTTATTAAATTAATAAAATAATAAATTAATTATTATTTAGACGTCAATAATATTAAATAATTTTTAAATATATTAAATTGTTAAAAAGAAAATATTAATATGTTAAAGTTAAAAAAAAATACACATTAAAAAAAAGTACAAGTTATTAACATAGGTAATATACTCTGATTACTACTATATATTGTCACTTTTAAGTTAAATTGAATGCTGAGGTTTGAGTTTCGTCAAGCAATATCTTGGTTAGATGAAATTCCTTTAACAAAGTGGACTTGTATGATGGGGGGAAGAGGTACGATGACATGACAAAAAATCTTGCTGAGTGCATCAACTCAATTTTGAAGGGAGCACGTGCTTTACCCATATGTGTTCTCATTAAATTCACATTTTGAAATTCCCAAGAGGTATCAAATTCCAATGTTGTGGATGTCCTGTAAATTATACAGGCAAATTAATTGACTGATGGTATGATTGTGGAGAGTTTCAATGTCTTCGATTTTCTTGTACTCTTGTCATTGTTGTACGTTCATATTATCATTTCCACATTGACGCATGTGTCTCAAAGACTTTGTTGAGTGTGTGCAAGTTGATCATGTGAACTACAATTATTAAAACCAGACCAGGTAAATTGGGGACCAGTTTGGAGTACCTTATAAAACTGAATGATTTATTTCCCTCTTTGCCAAAAGCTCTAGAAAATATGCTGAATTTCCTAAACCAAGCCCTTGTAGACTATTGGGGCCCATAGAGAGATTGACTAAGTTTGCAAATTAGACTTGATTCCCTTATGCAACAAACCCAAGAAGTTGTTCCATATAAACCTACTTATGATACATAGTTGATGTCATCAATGTGAGGGTGGGCTAGCTTATAGCTATTCTATCCCCCAGGGATCCAGAATAGAGCAAGCCCCCAAGGCTTATCTTCTTGTAGCATCCCCAGTAGTGGAGAGGGGACAATGAGTAAGGGATTCGTAACAGATATGCTCCAAGAAAAAGACTTCCCTATGGAATATCTCCTCTATAAGAGGAAGTAGCTCACCTAGTGACTAATTGTGAATTGCAACGATCTCAAGAAAGAAGTAGATTGTGTGATTTTGGCTACAACATTAAAGCATAATTGTAATTAAGACAATATTGAGTGTATCCTTTGACCACCAATCTATAAGATGACCCACCTCACTATTATGACAACTTTAATAGTATAACCCATAACAACCAATTACTTCTTCCCATGAGGAAGTGAAACCAACTCCCTTGTACCACTCACTTCAAGAGCTTGCATTTCAACAACCATAACTTGTCTCCATTCAAGATGATCAGATGATTCAAAGATGTTGTTTTTTTAGAAGAAATACAGAACAATGAGGATACAAATGAGAAATATAGAAAAATGATAACTCAAAAATATAAAATGGGATAGAGATTTCAAACATAGTTATGAAACCTGACTTTACTCGACAGGTTAGACTAGAAACTAGATGTGATCTGTTCAAGTAAATGACCTGGAACGATATCATCAAAATGGAAAAATTTTGGGTTAAATCGGCTAATCTAATGCTTGGTGGGCTCATTTTTATTGTACACATTGCTCAATGCCATGTTTGTGGTCCAAGGTTGTCTCCAATCTATGTTGTTGTTGCACGTGGATATTGGGAGTTTTGTTGGTGCTGCACTCACGACTCTTACTGGTGTTGTCATATTATTTATAAAAAAGTAAACAAAGAGTGGGGCAAGGTTGGAAGCCTTGTCAAGGTTTATCTGGTACAAGCTTTACTAAACTCTAATTGGGAATTGATATTTGTGTGCAAAATATAATATCGATATTATCTTAATACTTATTTTATAATAACATTAATTATATAATAACATTATGATTCAAATTTAAAGATCACTTAAATTATGTTAGTTATATAATATTTACATTTTTAATATATATTGGGTCAACTAGTTTAATTAGTGACCTATTAGTTTGACTAAGGATCCATTTACCTATTGCCTTGACCAATTCGATGATCCTGTGGTTTCATAACATTAATTTCAAGTACATCAAATACCTATTGTAAGAGACTTAGGTTGACCAACACTACCATCTTCAGGATTCATTGTAGGAGTGACAAATTGAGGACATGAATTAGGAGGTGGCAGGTCATATATTCATGGATCAATTTTGTGTTATGTGTTAGTATGTAATGATAGGTGTATTGTGGTTTGAAAGTGGTTTTGATTCTCTTCTTACTTGGAGGTGTCATGATTAGGAGACTAAAATTGCCAAAGGATGGAATAGGCAATTTCTATTAGATAGAAGTGGAATTTTGCATGGAGGAAGAGGAATTTCTTCAAAGAAGATAAGATTAGCATATATTGTCTAGTGTTTGGAGACTAACATTGATACACTTTTTGGAGGTTAGCCTATATCATTTCTACATTTGAACACTATAATTAAGCAAAATAGTAAACAATAAGTTAAGTAGGGCATGCTGACTACAAGTTAAAGATTTCTCCTTCACAAAATTAGGTTTTTATTACCTGTTTCTAATTCCTTTTTCATGATTTAGGTTGCTGCAATTATAAAATGTACTAGTTAATGTAGCTACATCTCAATTGTAGGATGCAAATGTAGCTACATAGTAGTTGCAAGAAATAGGACAAATGTCATGGGCAGATATGAAGTAGTTATTTTGGATAATGGAAAAAAAATTAAATCTAATTATTGCTTGAAGATGTTTAATGGAGGAATTTTCAAATTGGCTGGAGGAGACATAAATTTGAAGACATTTGTTTTTTTTAGTTATTTAATTGTTAAATGATCGCTTTAAGAACTTAAATTTTGTTGGTGTATTCCACCAAAACAAATAGAACAAGAGAATGAATTAAAAGAAGGAAATTGATCATGCTCTCTTAGATGAAGATGAAGACAAACTGGATCACATCATAGAAAGGAGAGAATGAGGTCACGTGTGTGCACAGTTTGCATCTCAGAGGAGAGAAGTGAGCAAAACATAGTGCACAAAGATGAGTTTGACAAACAGTATAACAACAATGAGTTTGATAAGATGAGTTTGAATTGAAGTGGAGAGGAATAGAGATGGGAGAAACAAAGTGCGGGAAGAAGAAATCCTACTCACTATCAAAATGCGACAAAACAACTCGTGTCAAGGTAGGCCATCTCCTTCCATCTAACTTGTGATTCAATGGTAAACTCACAAGTAAGCTCGATTTTGACTAAGTTTACTCTGAGTCTATGCGAATTTGCTAAGAAACGTGTCTATTCACGAGTTAACTTAGTGGATTCGCAATCTTGTCCGAGTTAGTGAGTTGACTTAGAGTTCAACAATTATGATGGTGGGTGTTCATTAAAGAGGAGCCTTCATGAAATGAGTTGAGCGATGCTAACCCACTATCCCAATAGTGGTATAAAGACAACCCAAAAGGTTTCTTGAGGTGGAGGTGCCAATGATGTGTGAAAGGAATGTTTCTCATTTCTTACGAAGTGTTGAGAATTAAGAAAAATATAAGGATGATAAAAAGACCAAGGAATAGTATAGAAAAAGCTTGAGATTTTGAGTTTTGACAAGCTATATAACCTGTAGGTTCCGAAGAAGAGTATTCATAGGCCTGTTAGTGGTAGATAAAGGACAAGGGACTTGGATAAAGTGAAATCATCAAGGACAAAGAAGCTAAAATCTTGGTTACAAACTAGATATCAAGGAAAAATGGAAGAGTGGAATTGAGAAGCTATTTAGTGTGTTGTTTGGGTGAGCGTGGGCAAAAATTATTTAGAAATAAAGTGATTTACATTTAATGTTTTTATTGTAAAAGCAAGGTAGTAAGACCGAGTATAATATTTTTTTTGTCCAATGCAAAAGCTATCAAAAATTCAGTTAACTCGTTTAAGAATCCATTCCTTGAAATGAAACGTGAACATGTACCTAAAATCACGTTGGTTGATATTTCAACATGATTTTGCACGATTCAATGTGAATCCAAGGGCACACTTAGTGAAGAACATGAATTTTTTTTACATACTTATTGGCTAAAACACATGAGAACCAAAATTTTATCTCTTATAACAGGACTCAGAGCCTAGGGCATTAAAGATGCCATCAGTTGACTTACAAATTTGCTTCATGAATTTCTGAGGTCTATCATCTGTATGATGTAAAACAGAGAAATGATATTTGCATGATATACTCACCTTTTTCTCTACAGTTTTTTTTTTTTTTATCATTTATATCATATATAATAATCAAGTTAAGTGAGGATGGCATTTAATGATAAAATTATTTATGACAGCGGATTTAAAAGTGACTTTGATGTTCGCAAATTGCTAGCACTATTTTATGTGCAACAAACTTTACAACATACTACTAGGTGTCTATTAAAATATAATATATTTGAACTATATGGACAGGATAGAACATAAAAGTCACTGTATGACATAAATAGCGTACATACTATGTCCTATTGAAAACAGTGTCTAGTGTCTCCTTTCCTTGTTCATATCTCGCAGCTTTATCTTGATCTGTTTTCATGCAGTAGTATCTTTATCTGTTTTCATGCAGTAGTAATACTCTAACCGATGCTTCAATTTTCATTTTACTTTTGTGCAGGATTAGAGAGAAGATTTTGAAGCACTGTGCACTTCTTTAATGCCAGGTTCTCGAGTCAGACTCTCGGTAATTTTCCATTAAGTGTACTTGATGAATCTTCTGTATTGAACAGGCACTACTGATCTTCTGTAGAACTGGATGTTTCAATTTCGGTCATGGTGAATCATGTTTTATCTTTTTATTTAATTCGATTGTCTTTACACTTGAACAATTACGGGATTTTTGTCCATAGCCATCATTTTGTTGGTTTTATTGACTCTTTTCAGCCGGCATATAGTCAACCACCAGGCTAAAATGAAGTACCATAATATTATCTGCGTCATCTACGTTAGCCTAATAAAAATGAGTAGTAGCCATTGCAAAAGCCAACTAAATGTAGTCCTTCATCCATTTTGGCAATTAGGTCTTGCGTTTCGTTGACCCAAGCCTTCAGTGAACGTGGCTCCAGCCAGTTTAGGATAGTTTGCACTTTATCATCTGGAATAGCAGTTTTTCTAAAATGATGTTTGCCTAAAAATTCACAGCAACATTTGGCAACAAAGTTATTGGTCGAGAGTAAGTTAAAAATTAATTGTAAATGTGTCATAATCTAAAAGTTATTGAAAAATGAAATGTGTGTGATTAATTTCTCTTACAATAGCAAAATTACTAAATAATTGAAAAATCTAATCTTAAAAATGCATGTATTATATATACATCTATAAAGTAGTTGAATGAAGAATAAATAGTGGAATAATTTCTCGCGGATAACTAGTATATTTCTTTGTAAGTTAAAACTATGAATAATCTTATAAAACACTTGAATAAATTATAATAAATATAGTTTTTGTTGAGTATTCATATATGATTATTGTGTAAATATTTAATGTAAATATGAATTCCATTCTCTACACCAATTTTAAATAATATAATTTCACATATATATTTTTTTTAAATAAGTTATTTGTAATATGAATGCGACATAGCTTTATTTTTTAAAAATAATTTTAAACAAATGTTAAAGGAATATTAGTTAAAATCAGAACGAAAAAAGTTATTTAAACTAGTTATTATCGCGTTTTTTTATTCGTATCTTTTATTATAATAATTTATCTTATTGTGTATTTATAGATATAAATAAAATATACAAATAACTAATTATGGGAATAAGTTGAAACCCAGAAAATGTATAAAAAGAAAAAAATGAAATTAGGAAAAAATATATAATGAAATTAGAAGAAAAGGTTAAATTTAAGATAGACGAGTAAATGAAAGATGTAGGAAGTAAACAATGCTTATTAATAATTGAAAATTGAAGAAATCTTTCTAAAATTTGTAATCGCTAAGAAGTTATATTTTAAAATACGGTTATTTTATATTTATTTAATAAGATAATACTTCTACTACGTTGTTATAGATGTATCTATTAATACACTTTTTATATGATTTGAACTTTAATAAAAAAAATTATTTTTTAACTAAAAGGACTCAAACTAAATATGATTTCAACATATCGCAATAACACTATTTAAAGAATTAAAATTTGATACTTTTATTAGTTTTTATTATTTTAATTTTTTCTTACAAAGTTTCACTGTCAGAAATCCAAGACATTAATGTTTTATTTAATATGTAACAAACTTCAAAAAAACAAAATTAATATTATCTTTCAACTTTATAAACAAAAGTTTTAATTTTACTTATTAAAAATATTAACTTTATTTAACATTATTAATTTCATAAAATAAAAAAATACATCTTTTAAATTGCCTTGAATTCTGAAACATACTTATAAAAAATGATACTCAGTTTTAAACATAAAGATAGTTTTAAAATAATAATAATATTAAATAAAACCAGAATAATTAAAATTTATTTATATATTTAAGATCACTATGCATAATTTTTTTTCTTCTTATATTTAAGTCAGGAAAGATTACTGGATACATTTTAAATAAACTTCTAATTTAATTCTAACAAAAAAAGATAGAAGGAAATAATAATAATTGTTCATTTAATAATTGAAGGCCACCATAACTTACAAACTTAAAGCCTGAGCAATAAAAGAAACTTGATTTCACGTAAGCATTCGGATCCCCATAAAAACAAAGATATGGCTTCGAGTTTTCCACCTATTCTCGTCTACTTCTCTATTCACATTAATGAGAAGAAACCAATACAACACTACATCCAACCAAAACAAAACTTTGAAAGCTTAGAATCTGGTCCTTTAATCTTCATGATACAAATACAAGCCAAGACCAAATCGGGCACAAGCTTTGCAGAAAGCAATTTCCTCAGCAGCTGAAACTGGATCACCGATGGAGCCATCACTGGGAGAGACTGTCCCAGTTGATTCACGAAATGCCTGTCATCAATGGAGAAAATACAGTGTTTAGACACTTTGGGTGTAACTCATAGCGCAGCTAATAAAACAGGAAACTCTCCCCTTGACCTACGGGGGCAAGACGGCTCTCGTCAAAGAGGTCTAAGCTTACCAATAAATTGCCTCAATTTTCCTACATATTTTAGGGGTGATTATAATATTTCAAGTTTGAACATTTAGAATAGGAAGCTATTCTAGTTCATATTGTAAAAATAATTTAGTAATATTTGTACTACAGTAATTGTGTTAGGTCCTGGACAACCAAGTAAAATTCGTCAAACCCCAAACATGAATCACTCACAAGGGATCGTATGCGCTAAAGCTATATATAGATCATTCATGGTAAGCAACAAGTATGGCTTGAGTATAGTATTAAATAAGCTGCGCCACTTGGCACCTGGATGTAGTATTAAATAAGGATCCTTACATTTTTTTTTTTGGACAAATGTAGTATGGTACTTTGATAGGTTACTTGGAATATTTGTACTATGATAGGTAAGTCTTTGGAGGTGGTGGACGCTATGATTGAAAGAAGATTAACATCATTCGTCTTGGAAAGAAAACTATGGAGCTAAACATTTAGGAGTCAAATTTAGGTAAATAGGGAAAGCTAGATGAATGAATGAAATCGGGATTATTGTGGATAAAGATGGAAAGACAAATGTGTGCGGTGGCTATAAAAAGGATTGATGACAATATTTTATCTTTAAAACTAATAATGATAGCCTAAGAGACTCTCAATATCTTCAATATCGATATACATCACAAATAGAAGATTAGACACACTTCGGAAAGAAAGTTTTGGAGAGATTTATAGGATTGATTCAGAGTTTTCCACAAGAAAAAAAAATTTCTCATAAGTAAAAATGTATATAGACATGCTTGGTAGTTTATGAGATCATGGTAGTTTTGGTTTTCAAGAGCTAATTACGAATAGCAACATCTTAATGGTATGCTTCAAGATTAAAACACTAATTTTAAAAAGTAGGAGGAAAATCTAAGCACAGTGGAACCTTAAGGATGCAAATTGATTTCTTCTTGGTAAAGAAGCTCAAATAAAAGAGCTTGAAAGGATTGCTAGATGAATCTAAGTCGTACTTCATAAGATAGGGTATTGATCCTTAATGTTCATTTCAAGCATCATAAATAGAAAACCAAACAAGTAACAAATTCATGAATCAACTAGTGGCTGTTCATGGATGATAAACATTTGACAATTAAATTTATTAGAATAGAGTGACCGGAGATCAGAAGGTTGTGCTAACCTCACTTCGAGAAGTTACTAAAGCAATCTTGGGGAATCAAAAGGTTTTGTACCACGAGATAAGGAATATTGGTAGTGGAATGAAAGAGTGCAAGAAAGGTAAGAAATGAGCGAGAGTGATTAATCTTACATGCGTAACAATCAAATTTAGGCAAGGTATTGGAAGGCTAGAAATAAGACAAGGACAGCTGTAAGGTATGATTCAAAGCTTTTTAAGTGCTATGCCAAGATGGGACAAAGAATTGGAAAGCATAAGATATATAAGCTTGCTAAAAAACAGGGAAAGGCAATCGAGAGACTTGGATAATGTACAAAGTATCAAGGATAAAAAAAGTAAAATATTTGGTTACGGATCAGAATATCTAAAAGAGACGGGAGCAAAAGACTTTGATAAACTTTTCAATGGTGGACAAGGATAATTTGTAATATGAAAGGATGAGAAATCCAAGAGAACAAGCAAAATTTAGCTTTCTATTGCAGGATTCGAATTAAAGCAGTTGTAAAAGCTCTAAGGACAATGGATAACAATAACAATGTTAGTTCTAATGGCACTTCTGTAGAAATTTGGAAATTTATAGGGAAACAAGTAGGGGAATATATGAGCCAAGCTATTCGATTTCTGCTTGTTAATTACTCAATGTCGTTTATCTAGTTAAATAAACAAACTCAAACTTTTGATTAACCTTAATTATTTAAACGAACTGATATATATATATATATATATATATATATATATATATATATATATATATATATATATATTTGATTAGCAAATGACATTTCGATTGCTATATGGATAAAGTTAAAAAATAATTTAAGAAATTTGCATTAAAGCAAAATTAATCAAGTTATAACCAGGTTAAACAAACCAAGTCCAAACTTAATAATTTTTAAACAATTCAAACTTTAGCTAGACTAAATAAATGATTCAAACTTAAGCCATCAACTTTTTTACAAATTAAACCCAATTTTCGGTAGTTCAGTACAACTCGACTCAGTTTATACCCCTATGAACAAGGTGTCATTTAGGCCATTAAGCTATTTAATGAATCCTTGAAATCTAACAAATATGGAAAATGGGTGGAGAAGAAGAATTTTGGTTCTTATTATAAGAACAATGGAAGACATTCATCATTGTGTAAATTACAAAGGGATAATAGAACTTGTGAGGAGAGCCGTTCTATGAAATTATGCAAAAAAAGTGATTCAGCATTTTAGAAAATTAACTTGGTTTTATGTCTAGAAGGTCTAGAATAGAATCTATCTTCTATAGAAACTTACGGAAAGGTAAAAAAGCAAAGAGACTAACATGATTTTTATTGACTTGGAAAAAGCATATGATCTATTGCCAAAATGATTGTACATGGCTTTGGAAAAGATGTTCACCTGGCTTATATACAAGCTATACAAAACACAGTATAGGGGAATTAGTAGTGTGACAACTTCAAGAGGAGAGACTAATAACTTTCCTATAAGGATAAGTTTACATAAGGGCTTAACCATGAGTCTTGTAATGTGCAGGAATAAACAAAAGATTATCTCTGAATGCATACTATTTGCAGAAGATACAGTTCTAATTAAGGAATTAAGGGAAGATGTTGTTCTTAAAATGAGCTTTGGAAATAGACTTTGAAATCAAAGGGGCTTTACTTGAGTAAGTGTAAAAAAAATTGTCATACCACACTAGTTCCCAAGTTTAAAAATGAGAGATGTCATATCACAAGTTTCTTAGTATTAACTATCTAAAATTGGACGTAAAAAATGAAGGGAAATTATTGAGTATGATACACAGAGGATACAAGATTAGTGGTTAAAATGGAGAAAGGCATTGAGAGTTATTTTGGGACCACAAATACTTACTATGCTCAAAATGAAGTTTTATCTTGCTGCTATACTCTATGGTAGTGAACGATGGATTTTAAAGTGTACGAGAAAAAATGGAAGTATTAAAACCAAGGAGGTTAAGATGGATGCTTAATAATACAAGAAGCAGAGGATACGGAACAAATGTATACATGGAAATATTAGTGACATATATTAAGGAAATGGTTAAAAAAAATCATTTAAGATGGTTTATTATGCGCAAAGAAGGCCACTAAAAAGCACCAATGGTAAGAGTAGATTGCATTATTAGTTTGGGTTGTATTTTGCAGAGTCAAGAATTCAATATTCCCTGGTTGCTTAGAAAATATTAGAAAGAGTCAAAAGTAAGGACTTAAAATCTTAGATTTTATTCCCTATCAATTTTGACAGCAACTTGCAATTTGGTTGCTTATGTAATGCAAACTAGAACTACATGTAGTGTCTAATGTCTAAGGGTGATGTCTAGGTTGTATTTACTTCTTTGCCCTACATCTATATTCTTTAGTAAACTTTGTTAATTGCCCAAACATGCGAGAATAACATACTCGAGTTTAACTACTAGGCATGATGATGGAAATTATACCTCTATTGATGAATATGAAAAGTTGTGATGAAAGGAATATGGCAATAAACACAGAGAGACAGAGGAAGAGAAAGCAACAAAGAAATGTATGTTATCTTTCTTAATCCATGTTACAATCACAAATTAACTGCCCTCCCCCCACTCCAATCCTAGAAGCTTAGAGAATTACTCGTTAATTAGTTGATAATCAAATGCAGCAAAGTAAAAGGGAGAAAAAAAAGTTGTATTAGAAAGAGAAAATTCACAAATTTTATCTCTACAGAGACTAAAGACTCACCTCTCCATCAGATCCACGTACGGTAAGTCGGTATACCACAGTTACACCGCCATTGTCAGAGAAAATGACATCACGTATCTCGCCACACCATCCTGCGAAAAAGTTTTGAAATTTGAATGTTTTACGAACGTTTTAGAGTCCAATTTACATTTACAATGATAGAGGACGTTTCGACAGTAAACACAATAGTTAATTAGAAAATAATACGAATTGTAATAAAGGGATAACTCCAAGCACCTGGGGCGTAGAAGCTCAACATTCTGTTGGCATGATACCTACCAACGAACAACATACAGTATAATCAAATTAGATCGCCATGAATTCATGAAAACAACAATGCAGTGTTCTTTATCTTTTTTTCTCCCTTACAACTTTGTTGTTAAGTGAAATTCACAAATGATATATATCAGCCTTTGCAATGAGAGGCATTGGAACCCAGAGACATTGTTATGATCATAGTGAACTTTGGATAGCAAGGAAAACAAATAAACTAAATATCACACTAATGTGCAGCAAAGTACCAGGGGATGAAGGTGGAAGCAGAGGGATCGCCAGGAACATGAGCTTTGACGATAGTATCAGGGATTCTTTTATTGAGGTCTCGGAGTATCTCGGCCAAAGGACGAGTTATGCAGGATGAATTGTCCAGCGGCACCACGTAATTCGAATTAGATAGGCCACTTTTCTTTCCATCGCTGCTATTGTTGCTTCGCTCGATAGCACACTTGAGGGTCAGGGTTCCAAGGCGATCCGTTCCCCCGTAATCCCTTTTCCCAAAAACCGCTTCAAATCCTTCTTTCCTTGTTTGGTTAAAAAATGAGAGCGAAATCATCTTCGGCGCAACCGCAAAAGCCATCGGCACAACTCACCAACCTATCAGATCCCGGCTTGCATTGGAGCAGTATAAGGCCAAGTGTTTGTGTTTATATCAAATCTCACAGAAACCAACCAACCCCAAGAATTTTCAGCACTAGAAAAGTAGGGATATTTAGGTTGGCTCACCTACTCCAAGTTATTATTGGTTTTCTTTATTGTAAAAATGGTATTTTTATCAAAACCTAATTTTTTAAATAATCTTTTAAAATTTTGGCACTAGAGTTTTCATTTTATTATTTTATCAACACCAAAATAACTATTTTTGGAAAATTATTATGAAAAAAATTAAAATAGATACATGAAAATTTTAAATTTAATAATCCGTAAATAAAAATATATGAATTATTTTGCGTGCATGAAAATCAATATAAAGTTAAAGTTAAATTCTTTATTTTTATAATTATTTTTTTATTTAATAAATTATTATATTATAAAAAGTAAATAATAAAAAAAGTAATCTTTACACTAAATTTCTAACATCTTCTCTTTTGTTTTTATTGAGCCATGTTAAACTTGAACATGAATCAAGCACAATGTGATAACATAATCTAGCCTTTTTAATATAATTAATTGTTGGACCAGTATAAACTAAGCAATGAGATTTAATGAAATTGTAACGCAATTTTTAATATCATAAAAAACTTTTATTGTATAAATTGCTACGCAAGTTTAAATAAATTATAATTTTGATTACTTTTAATTTCTTATATTTGATTTTTATTTTATATTTTCTCCCTTGATTTTATGTTGTATAGAAAATGTGTAATTTTTATTCACTTTTAAATTTTATATACATTTTATTTTATTTTTATTTTGATCTAATTGAACTTTATGGTTAACATATTCAAACAACAATAAAAAATAATTTAATTAATTAAAATGTAAAAACTAAAGAAATAAACATGCACAGCATTAAACATCATACCAAATTATAGATTTTATTAAAATTTAAGGATTAAAACTGTAAAAAAAAAACTAAATTTATGAATTAGAAATTAAAGTAAGATTAAAATTACTATTCTATAGATAACACTATATAGGCTAAAATATTTCTGTTGTTGTTGTTAACAAAATTTTGTGTATTATAGAAGGATACTTTCACTCTACACAATGAAAATTGATGCAAGTTTGTTTTTATTAAATACTGTTCACGGTTAAACAAAATATATTTTTGTAATAAAATAAAGATGTGAGAAAAAAAGGATTAGAATAGCAAGATCGGACCCGACAAATTACATGTTCATTCATTTTCTTAATTAGTTTTACATTCTTCCAGTTTTTAATTTATACTCAAATATATAATAATAATAATAATAAATCTATCAACTTTTTTTAAATATTGTTACAAGGATATATTTGGTAATAAGAAAAGAGAATAAAGAATAAAAAAATATTGTTTATTTAAAAATAAAATTTACTTAAAAAATAATACATGAATTAAATTAAATATTTTTAATTACTAAATTATTTATATAATTATTAATTTGTTTTTCATGAGTAAAATAATTTTTAAATTTACACCTTTAAAATAATATCTCAATTTTTTCAATAATATATATTTTGATATATATTTATATAATAACTTTTATTATAAAATTAGATTTTTATAAAAAATTAATACATAATATTACATTAAAAAAATAAAAATTATTAAAGTATTCAGTTTTATTAATGATAATTTTGTAAAAATATTTTTTTTAGTTTTCATTATTTATAAGTTGAAAGTTAAATATGTACATAGTGAATAGTTACATCTTTCTTTTCCATTTTTTAATACTAAAATAAAATATATTTTTTTCACCACCTCATACTCTCCAATTTTATACAAATGCATGAAACCTAAAAACTACTTACAAACCAAATCAATGTTAAGTTAAATGGGTCACTAATAAAAATAAAGTTCAGTTTTTTTTCAAAGTTATATATATATATATATATATATATATATATATATATATATTTATAAATAAATATAAAAAGATGATATTTAAAAAGTAACTCGTTATCTACTGATATTATGAATGTTTTTTTACACACAATTATCAGTTTATTATTTTACAATTTTTATTTAGTTATGTAAATATTATATATGTTACTTAATTAGTTTGTCACTTGTTTGATGTATAAATAACATTGATCTATTTTTATAATTTGATTAACTAATACATATTTTAACGATATACATAAATTTGATCAAACTCATTACGCAAATCAATAAAAAAAACTTTGGTACTCATTACTCAGATCAATTTTTTTTTGGTTGGATTAAAATAGGTTGAATCAATTTTTTTATTTTTTGTTTAATCCAATCCAACTAATAAACTTTCTATAGGATTGAATTCCATTAAGATGATTAAGTGACATATATACTTTTTTATTAATTTTTTTATTTTAAAATATACTTTTTTAGATTTTTAGAATAGATTTTCTTAATAGACTAAATTATTTATTAATTAATTTAATAATCTAATATTTTAAAAATATTTATTTATTTAATATAATAATTAAATTATAAATATATCATTATTATTATTAAAATTATTATTCAACTATAAAGAAATTGAATTGGCTTGATTTAGGGTTTAGAATCGTGGAAAACAAAGTCCAATCCAGTTTGGGTTACCCAAAACCCCCCTAACATAATCCTTTTACCAGTACATAATTACCTTAGAGACTTTTTGTTATCGTTTCTTTCCTATTTTTTGTATTAATGAACAAACTAAATCAGCCATCCCTAAATTGTCATTTTGCCTCACCAAATAGAGGCGCGCTTAGAATCAAGAACAATGCATTATCGTTTGCAGAGCACACGACCCTAAACGTGTAGTAGGCAACGTAACATACCATGTAACTTTTACAAAGACGAAGGAAGACACATGGGAGAGTGATTTTGTTATTGTTGACATCGTCTTTCTAGGGAAGGGGCTGAAACTATTTCTTTTAAATGAGATCATTCTTGGCCGTGCTCACAGAGCTTAGCGTGCCATTGTCCTAGCCAAATTTTCCACATCCAGTTAAAGCAATCCATCTCAAGGTGAATTGGAACCGATGCACTTAATTCTGAGGCTTTTGTTGTTCTAATTTCTCAAGCAAGGTTTTCCTTTCGTCTTCACGGAGGGAATTGAAAATGAAAACGGACTTGTCCCCAATGTCATCCTTGAAGTTCAAGAAAAGTCCATGTTCAGGAAATTTTGTACAGAAACCAAGATAAAACTTCTATGAACACAATCATCAAAAGTAAAACTAAGTCTACCTTGATGGGCTGGGTGAATTTCCTTGCAGCAAATACCACAAAAAGGGTCATCCACGAAGCAAGTAAAGTAAGCTTAACTCCATCATCCATCAAACCAGTCTGCAAATTGTGGAGCCCATGACTAAAAGAAATTGCATGCAATCATATTGATGATAATAACGAGAGTCAACAGGAGACAAAGAAATGAATGGATCCTAAGAAATAATAGCATTGTAAGAAATAAAAAGTTGGAAGACATAGGAAAACAATCTGGTGAGTTTAAATCTTAGTAATCAATGTAATTGTCAGCCCAATTGAATGGAAACATGGCCACAGCCATGTAAAATTATGGGCAATCTGTTTAATAGATAACATTAGAGTAGGAAGAAAAGAAGAATACCAAATGCCCGAGAAGAACTGTAGGAATAACAAGCGTGAGAAGTCCAGCTTCTAGCTTGCCATAGCAGAGTCCTGTTGAAAGAATACAAGATAATTTTTCAAATTGACATTTAATGGGGAAAGGTAAGTTAGATGAAGCATTACCTTCCTTGAACACAAGTCCAGTCAGGGCAGCAAAAAGAGGACCAACAAGCCAGATAGCGGATGGGTTGTCGACGACATATAGTATTAGATTTTTATTAGCTGGTTGAGCAAGGGTGAAGTAGGTTGTAGCCGATCCAAGAACACCAAGCACCCATAGTGCTTGTAGTGCACGCTTGATCTCAGAAACATAGATATGAATCAATAGTAACGATACACCCAACCCACCAGCACCAAGGACATAAAATAGATCAAGATTTTGCTTCAGGGTAGTACTTAAGGAGAAGTTATCGGGTAAAAAGGCAGCAGAAGCAGCAGCGACCACAAATGATGCAGCAGTTGTTACCAATCCTGATCTGTACAAAATCACCTGGCATAGCATAATAATAATAAATGATAAGTTCTTACAACCTGACTAGGCGTTGTGGTTTAGAAGTTCAATCAAATTATGTTAATTATAGTCGTATCAAACTAATTGATGAATCCACACGGAACTCAACTAGGAAGAGCATGGAGATTGAATTCAAGTAAAACGAAACTATAAACCATGGAACCTTAGCTATCTACTCTGCATAGAAAATAAATGAGGTCAGGACGAACACCTCTCGAACATCGGAGTCGTCAATGGTCCAGGGGCCATATATACCCTCATAAACAATGGTTGCGTCCAAGGAATCTTGTCGCTTTTCTCCGATAGCTTTACACCGTACAGAGATTCTGGATCCGGAAGAAGGAATCCCAGCACCACCACATAACCTTGAAGTACCGCTGTCAACTCTGCATCGAGGACCGGGAGGGCATACTGCCGCCGTCACCGCCACCGCCACCGTACTCAATCCTCGCAATGCCATGTTCTAATTATCAGATTATATTTTATTTTTTTGTCTTTAGGATATTTCAATTATAATAATAGTAATAACTTTTTTTTTTTTTAATTACTGGAGAAATCAGAGTAGTGGTCATAACGCGTTTGCTCGCTAGTTATTTATTTATTTATTTATTATTATTTTTTTCCTTATAGATACAAACATCAATAAAAAAAATACATTATTTGAATTGATAGAAATAATTAAAAAAAGTGAGAGAACTTTTTTTCGCTTATTCAAATGATGAAAAAAGATAAAATAAATGGATTGATTATATAAAATATATTTTTTTCATATGACATATCTTCAATATAAATATATTTACAGTTTTTAAAAATTATATTCTAATTTTAAAAATGTAAAAAAAAAAACGGTTTCATTCCATTATTATCCCGAGCAAATTAAAATCCCTCGTGAAACATTATAAGGTAAATGTAAAGCAATTTTAGGTAAATTAGAATATCTTATTATCTTGAAAAAAGAATTAGTCTTTAGTTGATATTGTTTATTGTTTAATCCATGCACTAAAAATTCATAAAGTTAGGATCTCATTTGGATTTTCTTTTTTCTTATTCAATATATAATTGTCGACTTTATGCGAATAATTTTAAGTACTGGCACTATATACATGTTGAGGTAGAAAATGATATAATGGATTTATTATTTATTTTTAATTTTATATTTGTTTAAATACTCTATGTACAATAATATAATAATGAGACAAATACAATAAAATAAATTTTAATGGTATATATATATATATATATATATATTAAATAAATAATTAAAATAAGATATAATTATCGTACTTATTTTGATAAAAAATGCTTAATTAAAAAAAAGTTTCATTTGATTATACTCTTAATAACAATATTTGAGGATTGTCATTTGATATACTTAATTGTATAACAACTTCTTTCTAAAAAAATTACATGCAAATTAAACTACTTTCAATAGCATAAGATTACGAGAAAAAGATTTAATTTAAATTATAATAAAAGAAAAGATAATTTTTCTTAGATGTAAAATAAAAGATAACGGAAAAAATAATAACGACAAGCAACGCGCATACAAATAAAAATAAGGTAAGGATATTAAGAAAAACAAGAGAGTAATATTATTAAAAAATTAAAATATATAATAAGATAATAAGAAGTATATATATATATATATATATATATATATATATATATATATATATATATAATATGAGAAAAAATACGACGAAGGATGAAGTTCATAATAATAAAGATTGATTTATTGATAAAGATTATTATTATTGAGCGAATTAATTGAAGACTTAAAATATGTTTGATGTTTGATAATTTGAAATTTTGCTGAAAATTTTATTATGATGAGAGCTTCCTTTAAGTTGAAAATGGATGTTTAATATATTTGTATATTCTCTTACCTATAGGTTATTTCTAAAATAAAATACCATAATTTATTAATTTTTTTAATAAAATGATATCTTAATTGGATGTGTTTTGTTATTGTATAAAAAATAAAAATCTTTGCAAGAAGAATGACATTCCGATTATCACTATAAAGAACATTATCACAATACTTCTTGCCAAACTCTTCAAGAAAATTCATTAACTAAATCATTTCCTTACTAGCTTCTGTGTTTGAAAGTGCAACATTTTTTTGAAGTTGAGACATCCAACTAACTGTTGTGTTACTTACTGTGAAAACAAATCCTATAACCTCTTAAATCTACATCGGAATATCCTTCCAAAATGACATCATTTTTTTTGAAACATAACATAATTTTAGAATTATATTTTAAGTAGTGTAATAACTATTTTATAGTTTCCCAATGCTTCCTTCCTAAATTAAAAATGAATTTGCTAACAACTTCCACTCGCATGAACAATATCCGATGTAATGCATATTACATATATTAAGCTACCAACTGCAGATGCATAAGGAACCTTAAGACATTGCTGCCTTGTCTACATTTGTCTTAGAAGACTGCTCTTTGATAAAATTAAAGTGAACCCCAAAGGTGTATTTATGATTTTAGCATCTCATAATAAATTTCTCTAATATTTTCTCAATATACTTCTCTTGAGATAATATTAAGAAACCCTCAAATTTGTTTTGCAATACCATTATGTTGAAGTGTCTCAAGAATAATTTTAAGCATTCTAATTTCATTCTCAACACAATATTCAACAAATTCATAACTATTATATTCACCACCGTTATCAAACTTTAAACATTTAATTTTTATCCTTGTCTCATTCTCAACAATGACTTTCCACTTTTTATTGGTGTTGCTCTTCCTAGTCTCCTATCGAAAGACCTAATAGTGGTATCAGAGCATATGCCGTTATGATGAACAACTCGATGGGGATACTCACACTTGAGGAAGAGATTGTTGAAAAATTCAAGTGTGAGTCTAAGTCCCACATTGTGTAAAAATGAAGAAATTGAACAACATATAAAGAAGAAAGACCCTTAACCCAATGTCTCATTGGTGTTGTCTCTCCCTAGTGAATCCCCTCTCGAAAGACCTAACAAGATTTTCATACCATTGCTGGCTAACTTGATTAAGGTCATATAGAGACTTATGTAAACGAAAAAACTTGTTGCTTTTTCCGTTGTACAAACTTGGTGGGAGCTTCATATAACTTTCTCGTGAGGTCGTCATGAAAAAAGACATTGTTGACATCAAGTTGTTTTAAGTGTCAGTTGTTGATCATGACTAAGGAGAGGAGAAATCAGATAATGGTAAGTTTTGTAACAGGGGCAAAAGTATGAATGAAATCAAGTCCTTATAACTGGTGTATCCTTTGATAATGAGTGAAGCTTTTGTATTTGTGAATTGAACCATCTTCCTTATACTTTATTTTATATACCCATTTGTAGCCAATGACCGCTTGTTACCACATAGATCCATGATGGTCCAAGTGTTGTTTTGTTCCAATGCATCAATTTCTCCATTCATGACTTTGATCTAGTTTGAATCCTTCGGAACATCATCATTACTTTTTGGTTTGACATTGCACCAATATTGAGGATTACATATTTACAAGAATACCTTGTATCTTTTGTAATGGTGAGTGATGAGTGACAGTCTTGTAAGTAACTTAAAGATTATCTTAGATAAGTGAATCACTGAGGTGAAGGTTGGTTGTTAAAAGTGACATCATCATTAAAAGCATATTCGGGGTTAAAACGATTATCAAACTTCTTCTTGTTATTGGTCGAGATATTAACATAATATAGGCAACCAAACATGAGAATATTTCTTAGGTCACAAGGTTTATTATGAAGCTTTTCGAAATGTGTAGAGTTGTGAAGAAGATGAGTAGGAGCTCGATTAATCAAATATACAACATGTTCAATAACATAACAACAAAATTTAACAAAAACATTAGAATGAAAATATAAGAGTCTGAGTAACATTTAATATGTATTAATTTTTTTTTAATTATATCATTTTATTCAAGAGTCTTAATGTAAGTGGTTTGATGGAGAATTCCTTTATAATTAAAAAATTTCTCATCATAAATTCAATACCATTATCAGATCTTATGATCTTAATATGTTTTTCAAATTGAGTAGCAATAAGAGTAATAAAATTTGTAATTTCGATTTGCTATTCATAAGATAAATCCATATAAATCAAGTATGATTATCAACTATAGTAAAAAAAAGTATATATATCATCATAAAAAAAAATTAGAGTATGGACTGTTGGCAAATTTTGGGTCATGTATATATATGATACATATTTAAATGTGTTAGAGTCATTATTTATTAAGCCAAATAATAAAGTGATCTGAATAAATTAAAGTTTTGGCTAAAGGCATATGTCATGAAAATATGATTGTGTAGAGACCATAGAGTAATTTCTAATTTGATGAGGGACCAAATTGAAAATACTAAAACTTAAGTAATTAACCTAATTTTGGTTATTTAAAGGGTCATGGTCCCCTTCTGAGAGCCCGTAGACAGAACATAGATACAGTCCCGTTCTTTTCTTTCTATCCCCATCAAGAGAGAAAATCAAGAGGGAAATACATGTGCTCTTCAGGTGGAAGACCATAAGATCAAATCAAAAGTGCTCTACAAAGGATATCGTCATTATGGCCAATTCAGGTACGCTTTCGCATTTAGTTTATAACATATTTACAGTATGGGATTATATATATGTTTGATAATTAGAATGAAGATCATATTCAATTACAGTTTACCTAACAAATGGTATCAGAGCCACCATACTGATTCATGTTTGCATTTGTAAATTGAGATTTAAGAATTCACGTGGAGAATAATCTCCAAATTTTGCAAACCCTAAATTTAAATTTGGGGTAAAATCCCCCATTTTAAAACCTAATTTTGATTTGAGAGTGGAACTCGAATGTGGGGACTTCTCCGAACACGAACGTGTCTACGATATTCCGAGGCCCTTCTTCTTCATCAACCATGGAAGAAGACGGTAGGGTTTTGTTCTTCGTCATCTGTCGACGGCCGTAAATGCTTTTTGGAACTGTCGGACATCGAGAAGGTCCACCTGGCACGTCAAGAACATCGCCCAAGCCCTAATGTACAAGGCTAAACAGAAACAGAGAAGAGCTGACCGAATGATGTTACCGAGTGTGCAAGGGCAAGCTGGAGGAAAGTGGATCGTCATTGACTTTGGCAAAGTAATAGTTCACGCACTTGATGAAAAGGCTAGAGCTTACTACAATTTGGAGGGTCTTTGGACCCCGGGGACAATTCAAAATGCACCAGATGGGGATTTGTGATTGGGGCCAATTCTTGGGCCGGTTTGTGTTAAGAGAAGTTCAAAATGGCACCATAAGGTTTTGCATGTATTTTGGAGCTCTTGGCTGAGCCTGTTTATATTCTTTCACAGAGCATGGTCTTACTCAAATTAAGGCTGATGGTTGACACTATAGCCACTCTGTTACGATGCTTGACAATGTATTTTCTAATCATCAAGAAAACTGGAATGGAAAAATCAATCATATTTGCTTTGTCACAGTCTGCATATGGAGGCTGCTTGTTTATTGGTTATTGGGGCTATCTTTTGCTGTACAAAAAAAAAAAATTTAGGGTTTCTTACCTTTTTCCATTCAGAAAAGGAAAAGTGGTTGATTTAGACAAGCAACTGTCTAAGATGTGTACACTGTTCACCTTTCAATCCTTTCGAAAATTGATCCTTCAGGAAGGAGAAAAGATAGTACTTGTATGGTTGGATACACCATATAATCAGGTTGTCTATGGCCTGGTGGACAAATTGTGTAGGTTAGTGGTGAGACTTGTCTTCTTACCTTTTGAAGAAAGTTCATATGCAACATTTGCAAGGTCTGCTTCAGGACAATATGCAGGAAAAAGCAAGATATTGGGAAATGGCTTGATGGAATCCCTTAAGTTAGTTTTGTTGATTGGCCTTGTTTTCATGGCATTTGGTCCAAGTTATTCTTATTCACTCATTAGATTGCTATATGGTGAAAAATGGAGTGATGGAGAAGCGTCAACTGCCCTCCGCTGTTATTGCTTTTATGTCATTGTTTTGGCCATGAATGGTCACGTAACTGTTGCTACCCTGGAACAATTGGCGACGAGAGAGGAAGATGTTCGAGGAAATGCCTGAATAAAGATGCTGTCGTGTGAACTGTTATTATGGGTTCGTCTTCGGCCCATAATGCATTCTGCAGCGGTGATGGTTCACATCTACCGCTTGTTTCTATGCTCCTTTATGTTTGGAGTAGAGAATTTTTGAAGCCCAAATCTATGTATATGGGCCTACTGCTCTTAAGGCCTTCTATCTTCCATGGGCAATGCTTGCTTTGGATGTCATTTATGGCTAATTCAGAAGGTGGAAAGAACATTTTGAAGACTCCAATGTGGGTACGTAAATTGGTTGGAAGGTGAAGAATTGGAATGCAACCAATTAGTCGTGCGCAGCCTGCTAATAACCCTCAGCAAGAGAGTGACTTCAGAGTTGCTTTCGGGGGAAGGTCCTAACGTCTTGGTGGTTTAATATTTAGTTTTGTTTATATAAATAAAATATTCAATTTTAATTTTTGGTAGTTTAATATTTTTGTGAGAAAATTGAGTCAAGAAGTTACTAAAGTAACCTCTCTTGAATTTGGTAGTTCATGAAAAATATTGAATGTTAGTGTTTGTGTATATTCATGCGAGTATTAGTCGACCCAAAGGAAGATTAATATTTGGCCGAATTACATACACACCTGTAATGATAAACATGTGATAATTATAAGGATTTACTTTGTCGATGATAAATCAATCCAAAGACTGGTTTATTGTTGGACGTGTTTTATTGTCAATGTTTGATTATTACAACAAGATACCTCTAGCAGTTAATATTACTGTCAAAAGACTTGATATTGATGGTGTATTGGGTGTCTTGAGATGAGTTAAACCATTATTTGAATATATATTTTATTTATAATTATTTAATTTTTATAATGTGAGCATAATTAATTTATTTCTTTTGTTCTTAATTCAGCTACAATTGCTTATGTATCTGCCAATTTAAATTCTGTTCCGGTCCTCAATGGAACAAATTTTAAGGAGTGGAAAGAGAACATTGATATTATTCTTGGCTGCATGGATATGGATCTTGCGTTAAGGACTGAGCAACCCCCTGTTCCTACGGATTCAAGTACCTCTGAACAGAAAAGAGATTATGAGAAGTGGGATCGCTCAAATCGCATGAATCTAATGATCATTAAGCGCGACATCCCGGAGGTGTTTAGGGGCACTGTTTCTGAAAACATCACAAGTGCCAAAGAGTTCCTTGCTGAAATTGAGCAGCGCTTTGCAAAAAGTGATAAGGCGGAGGCAATTACTCTTCTTCAGAACTTGATCTCCATGAAATATTAGGGCAAAAAAAATATCAGGGAGTACATTATGAACATGTCTAATATTGTTTTTAAACTCAAGGAATTAAAGCTCGAACTCTCAGAAGACTTGCTCATTCATTTGGTGTTGATTTCTCTTCCCGCAACGTTTAATCAGTTTAAGGTATCTTACAACTGTCAGAAGGATAAATGGTCTCTTAATGAACTCATTTCACATTGTGTACAAGAAGAAGAAAGGCTAAAGCAAGATAAGATAGAAAATGTTCATTTAACAAGCACCTCTAAGGCTAAAGGCAAAAGAAAGAGATCGGAGGATCCCAAGAAGGAAGGCTGTTAAAGGTCCGAACAAAAGAAACAAACTCAAGAAAACAAATGTTTCTTTTGCAATAAGACTGGACACGTAAAGAAGCAATGTGCTAAATATCATGCTTGGCGTGAAAAGAAAGGGTTGCCTAAACTACCGAAGCCAACTGATTCGAAAGATGGATATACGTTGAAAACAACAAATCGGTGGAGATGGAGACTATTTGACATTTTAGATTATTATTGTGTACTAATTTTTTATTTTAGATTTAAAAGATATTTTTGTCGTGCAGTCTTTTAGACGAAATTTGGTTTCGAGTTTCTTATTTGGACAAATTAGGTTATTTGTGTTTATTTGGAAACAATGAGTTCATTTTGTCTTTTAATTCGGATATTGTTAGAATTTGTTCACTTTTAGCTCATGATAATCTATATTTACTTAATATTGTGGTCAACTATAATGAAACTCTTAATACAGAATCTCGTGGTATTAAACTAAAATTGGACTCCCGAACAGTAAGTAGTTACTTCATTGGTTATTCTGAAAGAGCTACGGGATATAAATTTTATGATCCCACATTAAAGACATTTTTGAGATGGGAACCGTTATGTTCTTTGAGGATATTGAGTTTGGGGGGAAGAATAAGATTAAGAATTTTGTATTGGAGGAAGAATCGACAATAAATTCAGAACCGATTCAAACAGTTACTTTTGATAAAGTAAGTTCAGAACCTCCACAAGACATTGATGATAAACCCCATATTCAAGATGATTTGATTGTTCGTCAAGACCAAACTCAAGATCCTCAAGAACATGTGCGTTATGAGCCGGGGATACTCCAGTTACTAAGGGAGACAAATTTAGTCTAAATTAGTGCCCAAAGGGGAATTTAGAAATTGAGGAAATGCAACAGATTCCCCATGCATCAGCTATTGGGAGTTTGATGTATTCCCAAATATGTACGCGTCTATACATAACATACATAGTTGGGGTTCTAGGCAGATATTTAAGCAATTCAGGAATAGACCATTGGAAAGCAGCTAAAAGGGTCATAAGATATTTAAAGAGAACAAAAGATTATATGCTCACATACAGGAGGTCAGACCAGTTGGAGATCGCTGGATTTTCTGACTCAGATTTTGCAGGATGTCAAGAATTTGTAGCATGCTATGAGGCATCAAATCATGGAATATGGCTGAGAAATTTTGTCACAGGGCTGCAAATTGTGAAAGGCATTGAAAGACTACTTAAGTTATATTGTGACAATAAATCAGCTGTATTGTTGAGAAAAGAGTACAAAGTGGACAGATTTCCATAGAACACTTAAGGACAAACTCCATGATAGCATATCCTCTAACTAAAGGACTTCAGCCCAAGGTCTTTCATGAGCATGTTGCTCACATGGGTGTTTTACAGTTTGAGGAATTTGTGGTTTAGTGGGAGTTAGTCATTTTCATATATTTTATGTTCTATGTTTAATTTTATATATGTATACATTGTTTTTTGGACATATTTGGTTATCTATAGATATGCGGTTTTCTTGTTCATTCATTACACTTTGTACATTAAGGTTATTGTATCGATCTCGATAAGTTAAAGTTTAGACCAGTTGAAAATAGACGTGTACAGATCACATTCACGTAATTTTTCATGCTACACATTTCATGATGAATCCATGTCATTTGGTTATGTCAGGATGAGTAATCTTGTTGGTTTTAGTTGCGATGATGCAATGAAAAGCTGGTTTGGTTCTATATCCTGATATGATTAATGGACAGGACTTTTGGAATATGCTAAAGGAATATAATGACAATTTTGAGCTCATAAAGTCTAACACATTTGTAAGGTTGTAAAGAAATATATATTTGTGACCAGTGGGAGATTGTTGGCAAATTTTGGGTCATGTATATATATGATACATATTTAAATGTGTTAGGGTCATTATTTATTAAGCCAAATAATAAAGTGATCTGAATAAATTAAAGTTTTGGCTAAAGGCATATGTCATGAAAATATGATTGTGTAGAGACCATAGAGTAATTTCTAATTTGATGAGTGACCAAATTGAAAATACTAAAACTTAAGTTATTAACCTAATTTTAGTTATTTAAAGGGTCATGGTCCCCTTCTGAGAGCACGTAGACAGAACATAGATACAATCCCGTTCTTTTCTTTCTATCCCCATCAAGAGAGAAAATCAAGAGGGAAATACAGGTGCTCTTCAGGTGGAAGACCATAAGATCAAATCAAAAGTGCTCTACAAAGGATATCGTCATTATGGCCAATTCAGGTACGCTTTCGCATTTAGTTTATAACATGTTTACAGTATGAGATTATATATATGTTTGATCATTAGAATGAAGATCATATTCAATTACAGTTTACCTAACATGGACCCCAAATATCAATATGTATGAGATAAAAAGTAGCACAAGTACAAGATCGACTAACAAGAAATGTTATCTCTCACTGCTTAGCCAAGTGACAATCATCACAACCAGTGTTTTTACTATTTTGTATATAAGAATGCTTTTGTTCTAAGATAACTAACTTGCCATCAGAAAGATGGTTGAATCTTGCATGCCAAAAATTATTTATCAAGATTACTAACATTAACAAATAAGCAAGAATAATTAAGAATATAAAGACCTTAATGAGCATTAAATAAACCAATCTTCTCTTTGGTTATCAAGTCTTGAATCACACAAAAGTTAGAATAAAAAAATAATTCAAGTTTAAGGACAGAAACCAATTTAGAGATATAAATTAGATTACAAGAGAAGGAATGAAAAGAACATATTTGAGGAGGAACACATAATTGAATTTGGCTATGTTAACATGTGTAACATTGACCTTTGTACCATGAATAGGGATGACAAAACAATCTAGTTCGCTCCGTCTTTGACTTATCAAAAGCAGGCGAGACGAGTCGACCCGCTATAGTTATGACGAGTTGTCGAGCCCGCCATAATTAAAAAAAATTATTTTTTTAATATCAAAATTTTCAATAAATTTAATAATAAGCTTATCATTTGTTTGTCAATAATTCAACATATATATTTCAAGTTAATAATATAAATCAACACATTGTTTTAAGAAATTATAGTTTAGAATACTAATAAAATTTATATAATAATAAATAATAACAAATATATATAAACAACGTTAAAACTTGTAAAATTTATATTTTTTTATATTAAAAAATTCAAATACCTATATCTTTTTTATTTGATAAAACTTTACATTGTTTTCTCCTTTAGTAATTCTTACACCTTTAATTCAAGTCATAAGGATAATAACAATCAATGCTTAGGATGAACAAAAAGGAGATGATGAGCAACAAGAGAAGAAGAGAGATGAACTTGTGTTTGAGTAAAGAGAATGTTTCTTATAATGAATGAGAATGAGACTTTTTAATTCTCTTTCTATAATTTTTAACTTTATATTAATTGTATTACAATAAAAAGATTATTTATTAATTAGGCTGGCTGACTTGACGGGTTGATGGACTTGGTGGGACATGTCAAAACGAACTGATAAACTGAAAAGACCAACCCGTCTCGTCATATATAATAAGATTAATTTGTTTATATGATAGATAATTTAAAATAGAAGAGATAACATGATCAATGACATAAAAATCAAGAATCCTAGATGAATTATTTTCCAAATTTATTGGGTTGACAATGAACAAAAATTTTCCTTTGCCTTTGTATTGTGTGAGTACGACATGAAGTAATGGATCCGACTTTATTAACTTATGAGAAGTTGTTATTGTTGTCATTGTGTTGTTTAATGATGGACATTTGGTATTATTGTTGGGAAAGATGCATATCTTGTGATTCCGTGCCTGATCTTGTATATTCATTAGAGTTAACAACACACATTATTGCCTTTTTCATTATATAGTCGATGATCGAGAGGAAAACCATGTTTCTTGTAGCACACATCAATAATGTGCTCAGTTCTCCCATAGTGAGTACAAATTTTTATGTTCAAACCATTCTTGAAGTTCTTGTTCTCTTGGTTTGAAGGAAAATCATGCTTCTTATAACATGTATTCTCAATATGGTCGGGTTTTCCACGGTGATTACAACTGACAATAGAGACATTAGGTTCTTGTGTCTCTATTCGGCCAATGAAAACAATTTTGTTTACCTGTCTTTCTTGTTGGATAATATAGGAAACAAATCTTGTTGATAGGTGGAACATGGTTCATCAAAAGAACATGAGATCTCAATATTATTATATTAATCACTTAATCTCCTTAAGAATTACATAGCATGATCTTCACACTTTTTTTTTGTGATTACAGATGTCATATCACATTTGCACTTAGAGTTGCAAGAACAACTTGAATCAAGTTGGGAATTCTCAAACTCGTCTCAAATAACCCTTAACATAGTAAAATATTTTGTGACAATCATGTCACCTTATTTTAAATAAGCAGCTTCAACTTAAAGTTCAGAGATTTTTAAAAGATCATCTTGAAAGTATTTACATTTGAGGTCATTCCATATTTCTTTTGCTTTATCCTTCAAAGAATGTTACATGAATATGAAGGGATATGAAAGCACAATATGAGAAACAACCATAATATTACATCATTTCCATGCTTGATAAAACACATTGTCTTTGCCAGGTTCTTAAACAAATCCATCAATGAATTCTAGTATATTCTTCATGGATCGACTCCATGAGTGATAATTGTTATAGTCAAGAACAAACACAACTAAAGATATAACAAGGTTTTTACTAGAATGAAGATAAAGAAAATTGTGCATGGAAGGATTTTGAGAAGAACTTTTATTGTTGTGAGAAGAATTTTCTTTGGCCATAAGAAGTGTAGTAAAAAAAGGAGTAAGAAAATAAGAACAGATGAAAAAAAGGAAGTTAAGGATCTAAAATCTTGAATATAACTCTTCAACAAGGAGAGCTCTAATACTATCTTAGATGGAGAGCAAAAGTGAGAACAAACAAGACAATAATGACATGTACACACTTATACAAATATAAACAAGAAGATGATACTTAAAAAAAAAAGAGAGTAATATTATTGCAAAAATAAAAGTATAGATAATAACGAATCAATATATACAAGTAATAATAAAAAAAAGGTGACGAGAGATCAAATTTATTAATGATTAAATTACTAATAAAGATCAATTAGTTATTAATCAAGACGATTAAAAATCAATATATGTTTTAATGATTAACAACTTATAATTTTATGAAAATTTTATTATATGTTATTTTGAATGAAATAAAATAATGAGTTATATAAATTTTATAATCATCTATATATTTAAACATATCTCAAAGTACTGAAAAAATAAATTCAATTTTCCTTTAATAAAATTTAGAATTTATAAATTAATCTTTTCTATACGAAATAATAATGTATTTTGTTATCTAACAAATAAGGTTTGGAAATGTTAATGAAACAAAAAGCTTTATTTTAGTTGATATAATTTAAAGGTACATTTCATTACATGTTTATCCTTCGACTCCATCTTCAAGGAAAATGAAGGCTTTGATATGTTAAATACGGGAATAACTTAAATGCAAATAATTTCCATTGTTTTGGGTTAACACAAGTAAACAAATTGCATGGAAAAGAGAGATATCAACTTTTCATCTTTTAACCACACATACAACCAATTTATAATGCAAGTGGTGAGAAGGAAAAAAAAGTGTGGCTATGATAATTTAAATTATACTATTAAATAACTTGATAAAAATTAAACCAAGAATGAAGAGTACATTTAATATAGTGAAGGAGTAGACTGTACATATTTAATATAACCTTCAACTACATGTTTTTGTCATGACTTAATTTCTGGGGATGTAGCTTTATACAATATTAAATAATGAAAATAAAATAGAAATTTATAATTTTAAAATAAATGAATTATATGAAATTATCTTTTTGTATCGTACAACAGTCACCAAATATACACCCGATGAATACAATGGGGGAGTAAGAAAAGTAGTAACAAGGATTTGAACGGACATGGGTGTTTCTGATGGTTGTATGAGCAGGGTAGGAGAAAAAAAAAGAAAAAAGGAAAAAGATGAAGAAAAAAAAGAAAGTTAAATTGAATATACAAGGCAATGACAATAATTAAATAATAATAAGAATAATAACCCTTATTAAAGGATTAGGGTCAATAAGCTTTTATTTGGTAGTTAAGGGTGACTAATATAGGTAGTTAAAAATTGAAAACCCTGTTACAAAAAACAAAAAGCAGTGCAGTGTGAAATCTGTATACACATACATATGTATGTATTTTCTCTATCCTCCATGTCTGTGACTCTTGGTGCATAGTGAGGGAGAGAGATGAGGTGATTCTCTCTCCTAAAAGCGGACATCAGCAAAGGAGTCAGGTACCGAAGGGTCGCTCCAGTTGATGGCTATAGAGCAGGAATTGTCCCTGGGGCAGAATACGAATAGCAACTCCAACCCAGTTGATGGCGGGGATGTTCGAGGGGAGGGTGGAGATGAGGGAGGGAAAGCGCCGAGACTGCCTCGGTGGACAAGACAAGAAATTTTGGTTCTGATACAGGGAAAGAGAGACGCTGAGAACAAGTTCAGGAGGGGTCGCACGGCGGGATTGCCATTCGGGTCGGGTCAGGTGGAGCCCAAATGGGCATCAGTTTCTTCCTACTGCAGAAAGCACGGAGTCAACAGAGGTCCGGTTCAGTGCCGGAAAAGGTGGAGCAATTTAGCCGGAGACTATAAGAAGATCAAAGAATGGGAGTCTCAGATAACGGAGGAGACAGATTCCTTTTGGGTCATGAGAAACGATTTAAGGAGAGACAGGAAATTGCCCGGATTTTTCGACAAGGAGGTCTATGATATTCTCGATTCAGGCTCCCAGGCGCCGGCGTTGTCTCTCGCTCTTTCGTCGCCTCTATCAACCACAGTAACGGTGTGCAAGGACATGGACATGAACAACCCGGACCCGGACCCTGACGCTGCCCCTACCCCCGCTCCTGCCGAGCCTGAGGAGCCTCATCTCTACAATAATCGAAGTGCGCCTGTTGAGGATGGCTTGTTCTCAGATTTCGAACAAGATGAGGTCGCGGCCAGTCCTGAGAAGAAGGATGTTTTGCCGCCTTCCAAAAGGGACATTCCTGCCCCATTTCCTATCTCAGGTTCAAATTTCATTCCACTCCATGTTATCTAATTTCTCTTCTTACGTGATTTTATACTTTTTGCCTTTTCTGCACCGCACTGAACCCATACTGGACTATCTTGCTTTTACCCGTTTGTCGTCTATCTTCTTTGCTTGCTTGCTTCTTTTCCTGTCTTTTACTTCTTTTTCTACCAACCATGTTGCTTTGCCCTGTGTACATGTTTGTCATCTTATAAACCTGGAAAAACTTTAAGCTCTTCACAATGTTTGATTGCTGTCTGAACCATTCCCTTCATTTTTTCTTCTCATTTACAGAAAAGCAACATCAACCACTCCTCCGTGGATGCCAAGAGGAAGGTAATGATCACTATAAGGCCACACTGGCATCACAACTGCTGTATCACGTTTCTGTTATTGCTTGAGATTTCCCAAAGCTTAAATCTATTTGTAGTTTAGGAATCTTTTGTCTCTCCTAGTTTTCAACCAGCTTATTTCTTACAAAAACAACTTAAATTGTGAAAATTAAGCTGTTTCAAAATAGCTGACATTTAGACTTGTTTGACTGATCTTCTCCATAAACAGTTGTAAGAAAATAAAACGAATTGAGTTTCTTTCATCAACTTATGCACTTTAGCTTTTGGAGAAGTTAAATGAGTAAGTTGCTTTTAGATGGATTCTAGGGTGGACTATCATTATAGATGGTCTAACATGCACCAAAATTTGTAGCTCTTGGATTAATCTCATCCTCATTGCAACATGGTGCTCCCTCCATACCTTATTTCACACTCTAGATTTGACTCACCTCAAGATGCCCTCAGTGTGCAACATTGAAGATGCAGACACCACCACCATTTATGACTATTGGGAAATCCAAATATGAGTCTAAGTACACATTGAGTAATAAGGAGGAGGTTGAACAACATATAAGGAAGAAATACCCATAACCCATAACTTAATACCTTAAGGTTTTGGGTTGAAAGTGATGTCAATATGTGGGTTGGACTCATATCTCATTGGCGTTATCTCTTCTCGGTGAATTCCCCTCGAAAGACCCTCGAAAGACCTACAATGGTATTAGAGTCGATGGTTTGTGATGACCGGTAGTTTAAGAGTGGTCTCTGTATCAAAAGTCTTCTTGACGGTGGGTCAGATAAGTGTATCCCGTTATGAGGAAGACAGTACAAGTAAGAGTCACTAGTGAGTTCGAGGGAGTCAATGATTTGTGTGGTGATCGGTAGTTTAAGAGTAGTCCTTTTATCGAAAGTCTCCTTGATAAAGACGGCGGTATAAATAAGAGACACTAGTGAGTTCGAGAGGATGTATCAATGTGATGAGACTCATATTTTATTAGTGTTGTCTCTCTTCGGTAAATCTCTCTCGAAAATCCCATCAATGACCATAACCTCATAGGGTTTCTTCACACTATCAATGTTAGATTGCTTTCCCCTTCTTCACTCCTACATGCTAAAATGTGCAAAAAGAACCTTGACAAGAAAAAGGACATTGAGATGCATTTAAACACGATCTAAAACAATGTTTTTGGCCAACTTGTATCGATTGGGAAGTTAACTACCACTCTTGAGGAGGCTGCACATGTTCCAAAGTGGAAGTTGACACTTGTCAGCGGGGAAGGACTCAATGTTGATGTTGGTGTTACTGAGGAAAGTGATTTGGATATCCAAAATCTGTCGGGAAGGACAAGAAAATAGGGGGGAAGCAAAACATTGCCACTGTAAGTCATCTCTCTAGCGATGTTATACGGAGGTAAGTATTCAGGTCTAGGGAGAGAAGGGTGCCATATTGTAATGAGAGAGATATTAATCAGAAAGCTACAAATTGTGGTGCATGGTGGATCATCTACCGTGGTGTGGTGGTTCACCCTAGAATTTGTCTTTTGACTTATGGGAGAAGCTCGATTCATTTAACTTGTTTTCTTCTCTACAAAAGGAGTTAATCCAATTAGGATTTTAACCCTCCTAGTTTTCAAATTAGTCATATTAAAATCATTCATCCCAAAATTTTGTTAGTTTCGTAAGTAATTCGTCCGATTGTTATAGTTTCAAGAATTAAATTGGTGATTCCTCAACAATAATTTGTAAGTCAACAAATATGTAAATATTTAAACGAAAATAAGAAAACAAAAATGTTTTTGGTTACATTTTTTATTTAAATATTTTATATATTTTTAATTTGCTAATTTTTACAAATTAATTATATGTATGCCTGTGTTACTTTTCTGTTAATTGTTAAATAGGATTTTTGAAGTGGGAGACTTAATTTACAATAATGATAACTAATTGTGAGTATTTAAAATATAGAGGACCAAAATCACACTGTGATTCTAGTAGGAGACTAAAAGTGTACTTAATTTTCAAATGAGAATATCTATTTGGCAAATTTGCTGAGTTCATAATGTATGCTGTAATTGACTAAAAATAACTTATTTAAGACTTGAATGATATAGTTAATAATAGCATTTAGTTGTGGAATTATGTTTAGTTAAACTTCATCATGTTTGGAGAATTTTTTTAATTAAATATTTATAGAAGAAGAAAATAAAAATGTTAATGTTTTCATCTTTTTCACAATCGAAAGTCAGTTTATGTATTTTAACTTCCCCAGAAGTTTTCTCATCTAGTTTTTTTTTTTTCAAAACTGATCTATATATTTTTAACTTGTAGAAGTTTATAATTTATCTTGATATCTATTTTGTTTCCTTTAATAAGTATTTGTTGAATATTTTTTCAGAACATAGTCTTCATATGTATTCTGTGTAGGCTTCTTATGTGTTGTGGTAGGATAGCTTTCTCACGTAAATCAATTTTGATGTAGAGGGCTCTAATCGTAATGACTAATGCCTGTTTAAGTTAGTTAAACTGCACTTAATGGAAAATCCGAAAACATGAAAGCTACTTCAACCACCTTTACTTTATCTCCAGAATATGATGAGCATGGAGTTTTAGACCTTGAATCAGCTAAAATTCATCTGTGGCAGCTTGTTACCTTGTTCAATATCTAGACCACTGCTTTTATTTCTGTTGTTGCTTGTGATTCCTGCTGCAGCTGGAGAATAGAGTTGATTGGTTGCTCATTTCATCAGTTTCCTATGATTGCATTTGGAATTTCAATAATGCCAATATATAATTTTTTCTTGTGTTAACTATCATTTATTCACCTTTTAAGTGGATAATGATCCAATGTGTGATTGCTACTTAAAATGATGTAAAAAAATTTTAAAACTCGTGCATCTGGACCATATCTGTACATGCCTTATATGGTATGAGTAATTCTTGAACTATTCATGTTTCTGAAGCATGTTATTCATAAATGAAAAATTCTTAGATAAAATCGTGTTAAATTTTAACTTAGACAATTGTTAAATTTCATCTTAAAGCCAATTAGCTATAAGAGAAAAGTCCAACAGATATACAAGTTTTATCCAAAGAATTGAAGCAAATGATCGTCGACTCTTTTCAACAACTAAGATGCCTGAATAATTCAAAAGTTTCTAATTTCATGTTAGATTTAAATGCAATGTGGGACTCTAAAGTTGTAATATGACAAATCATTCTTAGAGCTCCGTGAGATAGCTTAGGATTATCAGATTACTGCCTCCCAACCACAAGCACTGATTGTGCGATTTTAAACTTTAGCTTTAGCTTCTCATTATAGACTTAAAACTAAAGTTGCTGGGTTAACAATGATAACATTGTGCTGATGTTTGATGATACATTTAACTTGTTTGAACCTTTTTTTTTTTTTTTTTCTTTTTCTATAGGTGTGGCTAACGCGAAGCAGTCTACTTCAAATCCAGAAATGGGTTCTACCTCTCAAGGAGAGCGGAAAAGAAAACGGTTAGCAAGTGATGAAGAGGAGGAAACTTTGCAATTTCAATTGATTGATGTCTTAGAAAGAAATGGCAAGATGCTAATTGCTCAACTTGAAGCGCAGAATATTAATTTCCAGATGGACCGTGAGCAGAGGAAAGACCATGGTAGTACTTTGGTTGCTATGCTTGATAAGCTCGCAGATGCTCTAGGGAGAATCGCTGATAAATTATAGCACAAAAGCAATCAGAATACAATGTACATAACAGTTGCAGTTCCGTGGATAATTGTGGTTACTGTTATTTATCACCTTATCTCTTATAGAAGATGATTGCCACACATGTTCCCCGTTTGTTTTCCTTTCTGGATATGCCATATTTTTGTGGTTTTTTTACTGCCATTTTAGGATTTTAGCACACATTTGGATGGATTCCTGCTTTCCCTGTTATATAATATACATGAGGTTATACGAATCTTTGGGAAGTAATGGTTCATAATTTATTCTCATTGATGGTTCATGAGCTTATTTTCATGTTTAGATGCATTTTTATTTTCATTAATGGTTCATAATTTTTTTGTTCCTATGGCTCACAGGGTCTATAATAATTGTTGTTCTTTTTTCTTGAAATTGCTCATTAAATAAGTTATCCATTATATCTATCTGTACGATCATGGGGAGCTGAAGTTGGTATTCCATGGGCGAAAGTTAAGTTGGTTTGGTCTCCTATTCCAACTTATAACTTGACTCAAAGAGGAAAGGAAGGTGAAAAAGAAAAGAGGAAACGATGATTGAGATGACTGAAAACCGTGTAATGCATAAAAGCTTGTGCAGAACAGGTATGGTTACATGGGGACAATTTACAAACAACCAAATGAGTATAGTGGTGAAAGTGGAGGAGGCTCATTCCCCGTTTCTTGTCCCTTCACCCCAGGAGTCGTCGCAGTTGCAGTCTCAATCACACTAAAAGGAAGCAACATAAGCCATTTCTTCTCCCACTTCCTTGCCACCCACAAGTAGTAGTAGTGTTCACTGCTTAACGTTCTCAATATCTATTTTGCTTGTTGTGTCACCATCGCCATTTGCAGGAAATTCTAAACTTCGATATATCTTTAAAGAAATTCATTTCATAAAGATCATTGAAGAATGAATTCTAAACTCTTTCAACAAGTGTTATTCCCTACTAATAAATTTCATTACATCAAAGACATTTCGGACGGAGTAATTCAGAATTAAATTTAATCTCCAACATTTATACCCCTATTTCTAACTTGGTATACCAATAACACCCATTTTTTCTCCGACTAGCAGTTTTTCTTCGTCCTTCCTCTCGTTGTATACATAACAAACACTCAAACACCCTCAAATGATCACGTTAAGGTAATTTGTCCATCCACAACCACGTATCTATTTATCAAGTATCGAGTTGTTAAGATCTACTCAACAAGATCAATATATCTGTTAAACACATTCACCCACTCAAGGAATTGTGGTTTTAAACATGCAAATTTCAGTCTAAATTGTTTAAATTTGTTTCACACAATGTATTTCTACCAGGGCAAAGAAATTCAGCTAAAAAACATTCAACACTTACTATATAAACTAAGGAATAGTTGAAAAACGTTGAAGAATTAAAAAAAAAAATTAACGGTGAGTAACCTTTTTAATATTTTATAAAATAAAAAGGAATTAAATGAATGAGTAAAATATAATTAATGTTTAGAAATATAAAAACTTTCAATATAATTAAGGATGAGCTTTTTTCTATGATTAATATTCTGACAGGTTATCACTGTTATTTATGCCATCAGAAGTGAAAAAACAGAGCGATAACTTCATCGGTTCCTAAATTTCATCACGATCACAATAACAGTCACCATACCTGGAGCTAACAGCAGGAATAAATTCATTTGAACACAGTGGAAGTGACAGTCTCCAGAAGATAACATTCACAATTCATATGCATAAATCAGCAAATCTCTCAATGAAATTAAGCACACATTTAAAGTTGAGTCTACTTTGGTGCAGTAGTTAAGTCCTGATCAACTTCCTTTCTGGATGCTTCCCAAAGTCGATGTTCAATCCCCAATTTCCTCAGCTCAGAAAGTCCTTGCTCAACTGGATTTTTAAAAATGCACAAGTTACTGTGTGCAAACTTTCTCAAGAATACTAAAAGCAAGAACTCATCCCTTAGCCTACTTAAAGTCATTGCAAATGGAGGCAAGATTAAAGCATATCTATTGTATGCTTTACGAGAAGACTGGCACAATATGAGAAAAGGAAGATATGCAAACTAGCATCCCCGGGGGGAATGGGTATAGAAAACTGAAGGCACAATACATGGTATATAGGACATGAAAAGTAACACTAATGGCACACTAGGCATATCATGGGAACTGCAATACATCAAAGTTTCAGGCACCAAGGATGCATTTTGAAGTGTAACGATGTGCCCAAAACAAGTTGCTAATGGGTCTGTTTGTACTTCAAAAAAAATAATTGTCAAAAATTGACTTGTTAAGTAATTTATTTTTAAGAAACTTCAAGTTGCTCAAAGGAAAAGGCAGATTTTTTTTTTCTGGTTATGCGTTTTAAATAAGTTTATCCAAACATATTAAAAATCATAATAAGTGATTATTTTGTTAAAATTTTGTAAAAAAGGTAACAAATAGACTTAATACATGTTCAAAACATATAAACAAAGAAGACCCTTCCCTACCTCGCCCTTACCCAATTTTAGACTCTAGGTCTACCAGCTGAGACTCGTTGCATACAATAAGGAGAGTTATTCAACTATGTCTTCCATGATTATCGGTGATTAGTAGCAAGGAATTGACTCAAGAAATATTAATGGTGGCAATAATTGAGCATTTTTCTTCCAAACTAAGAACAATTTAAATTTCCAATTAACGAGTGGAAATTTATAAGGTACGTTCCTAAAGGTATTGGATGGGATAAGTAAAACCTAGTGTCATCAATGAACGAAGTCTTGGACCTTTGCTATATAAAAGAGTCATGTAAAAAAGAAAAAGTTATCACCCAACCTGAAGAGGGTGTCTTCTAATGAGAAGGTTATTCTCAATCTCAAGTTAGTCCAGAAAACTTGTAATCTTATTTGAGATAATAAATATTTTTTAGGATATTGCTGTGGATAGGCAAGAGGTGTCAAACCATGTAAAAACTTGCTGTCTTTCACTATTTCAATGTGCATTAGACTTTCCCCCCATCAGAAACCAAATAGCATAAAACTGGATTGAAAAATCCACGCATACTACAATGTATTAATTAAAACAAAAATGGTAGACGCTACCATCAACAGCATCATGTGATGTAGGTGAATGCCCACTCCGACCAATCCAAAACTGGAGCCGCTCTTTGGCTATGTCCTCCTCTATACCGTGAACCTTGGCTCTTCTCCAAAAATATGTCAGCCAAGCCTGTCCACGAAGTGTAAATTCACATAGAAGGCATGTTTCACTACACATTTCTAGTCAAACAGAGAACCTTGAGAGTAAATGTCATCTTCACTGATTACAGAAACAAACTAGATACAAGCCATCAATATTATGAGAAGGGAGGTAAATCATTAAAAAGTACATGTTTAGAAAATTAAAATCAAAGAATCATGTAATCCAGAATGTAGAAAAGCATGTCTTTTCATAGAGAAGAAATGAAATAGATGAATATACAGACATTACAAGAAGCTGATAATAATGAAGAGCATGAATAGTTCATATCAGAAGAGAACAGAATACCTCCTTGAAAAGAACATCCTCTGACTCCTCTGGACTCAATTCTACATAAAAACAAAGATATTTAGCACAGCTTTAACTTGTTATTTGCATTTTTGCACAAAAAGGACATTGGGTAGCTGTTTCAGCTAATAGTAGGTGGGACAAAACATACCAAAGGCTTCCATAAACTTAGGGTCCCCAGGTGATTTAATATCTGGCAATGGCCAAAAGTGTACAGAATATTATTAGTACATGAGAAAGTAAGATTTTTAATCTGACAGATCTAATTATTATAAATAGAATAGAAAGAAACTGCATCGTATTATTGAAAAAGAATGCAAATATACAAGAGTGATGAAATCCGCTAGATATAACTACTCTAGAGAGACTCTAACAGAATGTAACTGATCTTAACAATCAGTAACTAAGCTAGTTACAAGTATGGTCGTCAGAGCTTAACACAAAAGAAAGGCTTTTTTACAACAGGAGCAAAACTATATTCCAATACTCTGGGAGCTCACAAGGGTGCGAACTAAGAGAACAATATCTTTGAGAATTTTCTTGACAACAACCCAGTGTTGTTCTAATGGCTGAGACATAAGCTGCAATGGGTACCTCTAGTACTACGGTACATTATTTCTGTCAGCCTCACACGATCTGAAAACAAACAATGAGTTGCATACAATGCCTCAATGAGTGCTTCTAGTACTACTGTCTAGCCAATTTCTAACCTTGACCAAACCAAATACCCTCACCCTGAAATGGTACCGCGGATGATGCTCTCTGCTTTTGGACTCTTAGGTAATTGAATTTCTTCTTCTTTCTTAGAACATGGGCTTAGGCCTAATTTAATGTTGCAAAATTTATAAAGTGGGGATTTCCCTCACTTATATATTGTATTTGGCACTATCTCTATCAAATGTAGAACTTGAGTTCTTTCCATTACACCCCTTTCACATCCAGCTCTATTGCCACGTGAATAACATGGCAAATGACCTTTTCTTAATGGATCTAAGACAGATTTTAATATCATTTTAAAATATGAATTTTAGATCTAAGTCAACTCTATAAAACTGACTTATAAGGAGAGAATTGTCACCACTTATATGTTGTATTTTGACTGTATCTCTAACCGACATAGACTTGAATTTTTCCCAATTTTCTAAACCTCAGTATTTTGATTCCAAAGTTTCAAATCTTATGACCAATGCAACAACCTTTCTTTCCAATATGATGGAAACCTGAAAATTCATACAGCCGATGACCATTATCTGCCTATCAAGGCTGTCAGGGAAATTTTTTTTAACTTATGTTTGGGTGTCTCCACATCTTTCCACAAACCTTTTATTTCTGTTGGGAAATTCGTTGATCATAATTGTAAAGTCCAGTTTTCTTCTGGTTGTGTTGTGTAGAGTCAAGGAAAATATCACAAGGGGGCCTAAAATTGGATGACCATTTTCTATACAATACCTTTATCTACATGTTCTCCTACTTTGCCTTTAT